GTGCGGCCGTTTGTCGACGCGTGCGTCCCCTCGCTAATGGCAACTTGGCCCCAACGAAGAGTCTGCATTGCCTACTACCTGGGAGATCTTTGTCCGTGTTTTGTGGGATGGAGCGGAAGCAAAGGTTGCCACCCGTCTCAGTTTGACCCGGACAGTCCGGCGTTAATTGGGCAACTGCATTCTTTCCGGAGGCGGTGATCGCTTTATACCAGCGGTTATAAAAGTGTGGTCCACACACCACCAGTGGTTCTCAGAGCGTGGTCCTCACACCACCAGAGGTTTGTGACGTCCTCCAGGGTAGCCCACGGTGGCTGTGATGCAAACGCAGCTTGATCCGGACAATAATGACAACGTTTATTTTATCTTCTGTTTCGGACCTCAATTAATATTTGAATCGTGATATTTAATAAACTACCACTGATTCAACTACCATAACCCTTGATTCAAAGCTTTCGTGACTGCAGGGATTCATATTCTTGGTTCTTTCGGTAAAGTCGCATAGAAGAGAAATAATAAAAGAATATTAATATAAAACAATAAAAATTCTCACGAATTGCCCGATGATGCTGGATGCAATTACCAGCGAAACGTCGTACTCAAATTGTAAATGTTGTGGTTTCACGCTTCAACACACCGGTGGGCTAAAGCAGTGAACTATTTGTCTTTTGTCAACGTGACACTTTTTTACTTATTGGCCGTGTCGGATGGTGGAGGGTTACGACACATTTATAAACAACGCGATCTAAACCCAAAAAGTTGATTATGAAATTGATAGCTTGAAAACATTTAGCGAGGGGCCCTTGAAAGTGCGGGGCCCGTAGCTACTACATATGTAGTAGCTACTACATATGTATCTACTACATATGTAGCTACTTGTGCAACTACGATAATCCGGCACGGTCGAAGAGTGCAATCACAATGATCTCTCAATCACCGACACGAACGAAACACCGCTCCCTCGCCGCTGAACCGTTTCGCACACAGAGCCGAGCGGAACAAAACCAATCAACCAACAAAAAACCCAACCGTGATCCTTCGCCGAAACTTCTGCCGTGTGACAGCAGGCGGTGAAAGGAAGAAGCGGTCCCGTCCCAAGTGTCACGCTGATTTAAAGGCGTCTCGTGAAGACTTTTGGCCCCGGGAGCTCGCGCGCGCGTGCGTCCGGCGGTCTGAAGTCCCCCTCAACTGTTTGTCGCGTCCGTTTGACGCCGACTAATTGTGACATCTTGTCGCGTTGCTTTTGTTTCGTTTGTTTTGTGGCGACGGAAAAAGCACCCCCTGGGATCCGTAGGGGGGGGGGACTTCAACCGAGGCCAGGGTGTGATGAGCTTGATGGGCGACACTGCAAAGGAGCGATCCTGTAGAATGTTTACTTTCTTTATTTCTATCTTATACTTCTCAACACCGAACAACTTTTTGTTCAAATTTGAAAAAAGGTATCAGTAATCCAAGCGTGGTTAGTAACTCTGTATCTATCATACCTTCAACAGAATATTTATTCTGGAGGAATCCGACGAGCTATAATGCTCTTTGTCAAAGATGCCCGGTAGATAGTGCTGTTTGTGGCTGGTTCGCTTGACGTCTGGATTCTTTGGGCCTGTGCTCAGCAACCTTGATAGAAGTACAAACGTATGAATAGTTGAAACATGGCTGAGATAAATCTGGTAGATGAGAGGGAGACAAGAGAGAGAATAACAGTCACGGTGACCGTGATATCAAAGGGAACTGGAAGGGTCTTTGAAATTCAAGACGTCTGCCTGTCTGGCGAAAGCAACTACGTGGTGACATGTTAACTACCTCGCCTGGTATACAGGAGGTCGTGGGTTCGATCCCGACTCTGCCTCCCGCTGTATATTTTTAGTTTGCGTGTCTCTCCGTGGTGAGATGTTAACTACCTCGCCTGGTATACAGGAGGTCGTGGGTTCGATGCCGACCCTGACTCCCGCTGTATATTTTTAGTTCGCGTGTGTCATTCTCTCTCTCCGTGGTGAGATGTTAACTACCTCGCCTGGTATACAGGAGGCCCTGGGTTCGATCCCGATCCTGCCTCCCGCTGTATATTTTTAGTTTGCGTGTCTCTCTCTCTCCGTGGTGAGATGTTAACGACCTCGCCTGGTATACAGGAGGTCGTGGATTCGATGCCGACCCTGCCTCCCGCTATTTATTGTAAGTTTGCGTGTCTCTCTCTCTCTCTGTGGTGAGATGTTAACTACCTCGCCTGGTATACAGGAGGTCGTGGGTTCGATTGCGACCCTGTCTCCCGCTGTATATTTTTAGTTTGCGTGTCTTTCTCTCTCCGTGGTGAGATGTTAACTACCTCTGGCAACAAAACTGACACCTTTTTAAAATGCTTACCCCGAGCTCTCATACTCTGATGGTGCATTGTCTTTGAGTTGTGTGCCTTTTGGCGTCATCTGGTCCAACACCATGTGAGACTCGGCTCTAAGAAAGCTGTCTCGGGTGTGGAACAATCAATTTCAAGGGCAGTGCATACATTATCAGAGTTGTCTTTTTTGTTTGCATTCCGACCGCAGGTATTGTGGTCAATGCAAACATGACTTCTTGACTGATGCTCCTGCTGTTGTGGAGTGACTCATGCAGCCAGCTACGTCGTTTATTGTGAAAATTCGGTCACAGTTCCTATGATCACTGTTTCATTGCTTTTATGGCTTTATTTTGGTGATTTTTAAAAAGTTTTTCGGTTTGGCCATGTTTGTTTGTTGTAGTACAGAGTTAGACTGATGGCCTTAATCTAAGTTGTCTTGTGGTTGTTGTTGTTTGACTTGCATCCCACTGGGATTTTTGCACACAGTGTTGGTGTACGGTGCTTTTTCTGCAATATTTTGCTGTCTTTTCTTGGATTTTCTGTTTGCACATAGTCACTTTAAGATGTTTTCTTGTTCATGTTTTTGTTTTTTTGTTTGTTGCGGTTGCACCCGATTCAAGAGCCGAATGGCTCACAGGGCTATACCTAATAAATGAAAAATGAAAAAAATTAAAAACTTGTAAAAAAGGTGTCAGTTTTGTATAAACATCGTCACTGCGGGAGACAAAGGCGGCCGGGCATGGTGCTGGCCACCGCACCCCCTTCGTCTACAGCGCCGGCCTCAATAGGTGCTGCTGCTCGCTGACAGCCCTTGCCCCAACAGTCTGTTAGAGGCTATACGGGGGATCTTTGTCTTTGCCGTGCCCGGGGCGACTTCAGCACATGGCACCGTGGGGCATCGCGAGTGATGAGTCGGAGTTTCATCGCCGCGGGCTGCAGCAGTGCGCTGTGTTTGACCTTTTCAGCAAGCACGGTCTGAAGACGGCCGTTTGCTGTCAGAAGGTGTCAACCTTCAAGGTACAGAGAGAGGAGGAAGGAGGAGGAGGTAGGATGTGGGGGAGGCTGACGCAGAAAGAGAGAGCAAGAAGATAGACCCAGGATTGATCTTCGCCGTGGAGAAGCACGTGACGTGTCTGTCTCTGCAAGCACGTGCGCGCATGCTCCGGCCGCCCTTGCAAATGTGTCTCAGTGCAGGGTGTATTATCATCTGGTTAGATACAGGATGCAGGCAGGCTGGCTGGCTGACACGTACAAATATATTTTTTTCAACGCGAGCATAATTTTTTCATGTCCCATTGGACGCGGGGTTGGCAAATCGTGGAGAGAGTAAGAGGAGCGATATTTTTGAATGGGAAATAAAAGCCACAGGCCACCGCCGTGCGATTGTGGCTTTGCAACGCCAACTATGGACCCAGAGAGTAAATCCACAGAGACACAGAGATGCATTGACAGAGACCCATAGAGATAAGGAGTAAACCCATAGAGACCCACAGAGATACAATGAAGACACAAGCGACAGCAGTGAATTGTGGCCTTGCAATCCAAACTATGGACCAATATAGTAAAGCCATAGAGACACAGAGATATATTGACACAGAGACCCATAGAGATACGGAGGAAGCCCATAGAGACCCATAGAGATACATTGAAGACAAGCCACAGCAGTGAATTGTGTCCTTGCAATCCAAACTATGGACCCATCGAGTAATCGGCTGTAGCATGCGCTGTCAGCAAGACTCCACGAACGGCGTCTCTCCCGAAGCCCTCTCGTCTTGGCTTGCAGACTTTAACAACGGGTCGCCGAGCTCCTGAACGCAGTTACTGCTGCCGTCACTGCACGAGAATACTAGTGTGGGTCCTCCCGACAGTACAGACAGTCCCCGGGTTACGGAAGGGATAGGTTTCCCGAGAATGATCCGTAACCCGAATTTTCCGTATGCCGGGAACTGGACAATTTCCCCCCAAAATCAAGATAAATTACATTAATCGTTAATCCTAGTGAGGCGTCAGGCTACCCGTCTTACGTCTCGCTCCACGGTTTTAATTCGCAACCTCACCACGATGCACTACTTGCGTTTACGTAACTAACGCAAACATGCTTTATGGGAGCATTTCCTTAGTCTCACCATTGCAGGGCCAGAGAACGCCGCAAAAAGGCGAACAATACAAAGACACAATGCACCATCAGGACATTTATAACTCGGGGTGAGCAGCTACAAAATGAGACTTATTTTTCCTGTATCAAAGTATGAAAAAAATAGGTTTTTATCCTTTCTAGCAAAAAAAACAGATGTTAAGATGTTCAAAGACTAAATAGAAACTTTTTGCAAGGAATCATGTGTAAAGAAGGCTGTCTCTGGTGTAGACCAATTAGTTTCAAAGTCAAATCTAATTTTATCGGAGCATATTTTGTTTGCATGTTCACCACAAGTACGTGTGATTAACGCAGACATTATTTGTTGTTTGAACATATTAACACCTGTTTGATTGCCTCTTGATGTTATAGAACTGGCAAAAAAGGTCCTATTTATTTGTAGCATTTCCATAAGGTCGGGCTTCCGTAGGTCGGACTTCCGTAAGTCGGGTCTCTCGTAACCCGGGGACCGTCAGGATGCTGTTCGCTATTTTACAATCGCGTTCCGCGTGGGTCTCCCCCCCACCCACTCCCCTTCCGACGCGCCGTACACAGCGTGGTAACCACGCTGCTCAACACAGCAGGCGCTGTTTCTCCCGGCTCCTGTTGCCGCCACGACTTCTTCTACTTATCCTCTTCCTCCTCCTCGCTCCTCTTCCTCCACCTCGTCCACCCTCCTCGTCTCTTCCTCTCAATCTCGTCGCAGGAGCAGAAACGCCCCCGTTGGTACGCGGGCCGCGCTCGCATGGGCCTGGTGCAGGCTTCGCTCGGCAACGGTTTCCGCCAAATCGCTCCACCACAAGGATCGGGTTGTTGTAAACAATTAGAGTTATTTTTTTAAGCACACGCTACGGCTTATGGTTAATGTACAAGCCCCGGGGGGTTTGTGGGTTTAAACATAAATACAAAATCAATCCACTGCTGTGTGAAAGGGGGCTTCCGTACGGCCTGAGGGTGGTGGTGTTGTTTGACAGCAAACTCCACTGCGCTGGTCAGTGGTGCGCGGTTTGGTGAATGTGTTTACTTACGGACGAGTGTAGATCGATGTTATTCTTTGGTTCTTTCGGTAAAGTCACGTATAAAGAAAAAATAATAAATTAAATAATAGCATTCGACGTTTCGATTGCAACACGTGCTATTATTTAATTTATTATTTTTTCTTTATACGTGACTTTACCGAAAGAACCAAAGAATAATTCCTGCAGTCACGAAAGCTCCAAAGTTAAGATTGTAGATCGATGTTTGATTCCTTACCCGTACCCGGCCGCACCAGGGTACGGGTACCCGTATTCTACCCGTGCCCTACCCGAAATGATTGACAAACGGTGACTCACCAGTGACTCGGGGCCTACCCGTACCCGGCCGCACCAGGGTACGGGTAGGACCTCATACCCGCACCAGGGTATGGGTATCGGGTACCCGGTAGCGACCTCTGCACGGTAGGCTACGTACGGTGCGAAAGAAGTTCAACATACATCCGCAACTTTGCTGACACTTTGCGCCCGTTTCTCCATTTGTTTTCCATATATTTGCCATTTTTTTTACTTTGTAACCTTTCACTACCTTTTTATGTTTCCATACATCACCCCTTCCCACGTGTGATACATTTCGAATTTTTTACCATGCATTATATGGTGCTATATTATACCGTTCTTACATTATACAACCCAGTATTGCACAATTATTCATTGAATTTTGTGGACAGGCTTGTGTTGCTATTGTGTTATATGAATGGCTAGCACCGGCCATAGAAATATGGAATTCACAAACGAGAGACTGTTACCCAAGAGGCCTCTTGATGTTATAGAACTACAAAATGCTGCTTAAATCCACACAATGTATGCATTCTGTCGATATTGTCAAGTTGTCTGATATTAAAGACTTTGCAGTGCTTTGGCAACTGGCTGTACACTTTGCGATATTGAAGTGATTTAATTATATTATTTGGGTCTTTCGGTAAAGTCACGTAGATAGATTCAAATTAATAAAAATTAAATATGAAAAAAACTGCTACGTTTCGAGGACAACACAAACGATCGTCATTAGGACGACGATCGCTTGTTTTGTGATCGAAACGTCGTAGTTTTTATTCATTTATTTTTATTAATTTGAACCTACCTACGTGACTTTACCGAAAGACCCAAACAATATGAATTCCTGCAGTCACGAAAGCTTTAAGTCAAGATTGAATTTTAGTCGCAGTGCTTTCAATTATAAATAATTTTGTCTCTCTTCACCCATACCCCCTCTCCGCAACTGTAGGGCGTCCTGATTAGCAGCCGCCAGCATGGACACAGACCTCTATGATGAGTTTGGCAATTACATCGGGCCGGAGCTGGACTCGGACGACGAGGAGGATGATGAGGTCGAACGAGATGACCAACCAAGAGACGAGGTAATTGTTAAACTGCATTGAGTGGTGCTGGTGACCAAAGGCAAAGGGCACCACGGTGGTGAGATGTTAACTCCCTCGCCTGGTATACAGGAGGCCGTGGGTTCAATCCCGACCGTGGCGTCTGGTGTATATTGTGAGTTTGCATGTGTCTGTCTCTCTTCCCGTGGTGAAATGTTAATGACCTCGCGCGGTATACAAGAGGTCGTGGGTTCGATTCCGACCCTGCCTCCCGCTGTATGTTTTGAGTTTGCGTGACTCTCTCCCCGTGGTGAGATGTTAACTACCTCGCCTGGTATACAGGAGGCCGTGGGTTCAATCCCGACCGTGGCGTCTGGTGTATATTGTGAGTTTGCATGTGTCTGTCTCTCTTCCCGTGGTGAAATGTTAATGACCTCGCGCGGTATACAAGAGGTCGTGGGTTCGATTCCGACCCTGCCTCCCGCTGTATGTTTTGAGTTTGCGTGACTCTCTCCCCGTGGTGAGATGTTAACTACCTCGCCTGGTATACAGGAGGCCGTGGGTTCAATCCCGACCGTGGCGTCTGGTGTATATTGTGAGTTTGCATGTGTCTGTCTCTCTTCCCGTGGTGAAATGTTAATGACCTCGCGCGGTATACAAGAGGTCGTGGGTTCGATTCCGACCCTGCCTCCCGCTGTATGTTTTGAATTTGCGTGACTCTCCCCGTGGTGAGATGTTAACTACCTTGCCTGGTATACAGGAGGCCGTGGGTTCAATCCTGACCGTGGCATCTGCTGTATATTTTTAGTTTGCGTGTCTTTCTCTCTCCCCGTGGTCGTGTGGATTTTTCTCTGGGTCCTCCCTTGGTTTCCTCTACATTCAGGGTCAACATGTGTTTAAGAGTATTTGGCTGCTATACATTTACACGCGATAAGCCGCTTCGTTGAGCTATCATTTGTGGCCAGGTCGTTTCGGGAAAAAAAAGCTATATTGCTCAGTGGGGCTTTACCTGGTAAAATAATAAGTAAAATAAAAAAAATAGTGTTTTTAAAACACGCTTTAATGAAATGTACCGTACGAGTAATGGCAGAACTCCACGACTCCAGGAAGTGGCCCCGAAACTTGCCACAGCGTAAGCGGCCGTGGTGATTTACAGCCAACGTGGACAATTAGACCCAAGGCGAAACATAACATATAAAAAAGATTGTTTAAAATATATATTTATATATTTTTTAATTATAGAATATAGTATTGTCATCAGTATGACATACGTATACCAAGTTTGCAGCTGATACCACATTGGGAAGTGGGTTAAAATTGAGTTAAACGATTTGAGGATATGACAACAGACAGATTGAGTTTATAAAAAGCGTGTAAAAGAATGTTTTAAAATATATGTTTTTTATGATAGAATGTCGTATTGTCATCAGTATGACATGTATACCAAGTTTGCAGTCGATAGCACATTGGGAAGTGGGTTACAATAGAGTTACAAGATTTGAGGATACGACAACAGATAGAGTGAGTTAAATAAAAGCGTGTAAAAAAAAGTTTAGTTTTTAATTTAGTAAGAGGAGTAACTGGATGAACCATGACCGCCAAAGTGTGATTGATGTGACTGTACAATGGCCATCGATGGTTCCCTCTCTAACCTTGACCACTTTGTTGCTAATTTACAACTGCGTCGTAAGTCGTATATTTTGTCGTGGAATTGGCTGCACGTTGGTCACAAATTGTCGTGTTTTTTTTCATTCAGATTTTGTACAAAAGCTTGTACAAAATCGTAAACCTTTTGAGTCCCCGAGCTGTGATCTGGGCTGGAACTTGAGACATCGCCAGTGCCGACTCAGTGCTCTTGACACTAAGCAACGTAGTAAACATCTTAACGTATAAAAAAAAAAATCTGAGCTACATTAATAAATTCATAATCAACGTTTTTGGGTTAGATCGCGTTATTTATAAATGTGTCGTAACCATCCACCACCCGACACGGCCAATCGGCGGTGTGTTGAAGCATGAAACCACAACATTTACTATTTTTTTGTGATTTCACGCTTCAACACACCGGTGGGCTAAAGCAGTGAACTATTTGTCTTTTGTCAACGTGACACTTTTTTACTGATTGGCCGTGTCTGGTGGTGGAGGGTTACAACACATTTATAATAACGCGGTCTAACACAAAAACGTTGATTATGAATAATATTGGTCGCGAAAGCTTACGTGTTAAAATGACATTATAAACATTCAGCCACAGTAGATTAACAACATGAATGAAATGATAATAGCGTACAGTCATGTGTCAAATCTATAACTTAATTCCAGTAACATACACTTCATCTGTGTAATAGGGTATAGTTCAAAAGCAATTATGTTCCTAATGACCACTCAGGAAATCCAATTTCCCATAAAAGACTGATTGGGAAGGAACCGTTTTTAAATGTCAGGAGAGATGCATGGTTATTACAAGTCCAATGATCATGGCAATAAAAAGAGCAATTTACAAATGTAATATGTACTCTAATATTTTAAGCTGACAGGTGGCTGAGTGGTAGAGGAGATTCCAATCCTGTTGGGTGGGGAGGGGGGTTATAGTCCATCATCCCCCTATGGTCGATAAACTATATACCACTTTGTGGGGAAGTTAACAATGGTTGAGGATGCATGGCCCTTCCAATGCTCATTCGAGCAAAAAAAAAAAACCACTTTCACTTTTTGGACTATATTTTAAGTCTTGTGACCTTTTTTTGTATCATCTCTTTTGGTGGGGCCTTATGATATCCGTGTTGTTCTTGGGTAGTTCTCTGAAGATAATCGCACTTTACCCGCGACAGCCTTTCTGCGTTGAGGTGGTGTAGGCAGAGCACTGGTCCCACGGTTCTATAGCCAGATATTTCACTTGTCCGTACTACCTGAGGTGGCGTGTAACTTCAGGAGTTCCAATTTCCTTTAATGGCCAATAACACTGTAATGACGTGACAGCCATTTGAATTGGGCGGGTTATCATTGCGTCACTCTTGATAGCCATAGAAATAAATTTGTGGTACTAAAGTAGTAGTAGTGATAATAATCTTAACTTGTATAACGCGTACAGTTATTCACTCGCTGTCGAGGAGAGAAAATGACTTGGGAGGCGTGAAAAGTTTTGCCGTTGTTGGCATCACCGATCATTAGGCCTTTGCCTCTGTTTGGCTGTCATACATTTCCACGTGGTGATAAGTCACTTTGTTGAACTCTCATGGCCAGGTCGCTTCTGAAAAAAAAGCGATTAGCTAAAGTGGGCTTTACCTGGTAAAATAAAAAATAGCTCTGTTATTGGGTATTTTAATGAGTGACTTTCCTACCTTTGCTATACTTTGCACGCCAATTGTGTTTTTGCATTGTGTGGCGTTGTAACTTTTTGACCCGCCCCGACTGGACATGTGTGAAAAAGAGCCTCATAGTTCAGCGGATTCCTCTGCAGTGTAAATAAAGACTCTGATTCTGTATTCGCCGTGTTGGCGGTTCGCACACCACACGCACAACGGCGACACGACAGGGGGCCGCTGTGGCAAGGTCGTCACCCCCTTCACCCCCTTTGCCCTTGGGACGCAACGCAGCATCTTTGAAAGCGCCTTGCGCGTCCGTTTCTACACGTCGCGGTCGGAAAACCCGGCATTAAAACGGAAACTTAACGACAACACAAACACAAACCTCACGGGCAATTACGTCCCGTGTCCCGTTCTGCATGATGACGGTTACAACAACAACAACAAACTCGGGCAGCTGCTGTTGTGTACAAGTTTCGCTGCGCGAGACAGCAGGTGGGTGTGTGTGTGCGCAAGCGGGCTCCGCGGGACATTATGCGTGGCGTGTCGTGCATGCCCGGGGTAGGGGGGGGCGTATGGAGGGGGGGGCGCGGGGGCGGTCGCATCCGTTATCCACCTCCCCATGACTCCGTTCCCCCCCAAGGCAGATGCTCCGCAGCTTCCAGCTCCCAGCATCATCAACGTTTCCTGCCCCCCACTCAAGGGCTGCTGCCCCCCCCCCCCACCGCCGCACATATCCCAGCAGATGTCCCCTCACTGCTTCTGCATCATCATAATAATAATACAAATCCAAGCGATTTCTTGCTTACGTTAGCGTTAAGGCCGGGTGCTCGTCACCTGTGTATAATACAGCCCTGGGCCAGTAAACAAAAAAAATTGTGGGAAAATGCTGATTAATAACGTCCCCGTTGTTTCGTCTTTAGGCTGAAGAGGATGAGGAGGAGGCAGGTGACGGTGAAGAGGAGCCCGTGGGAATGGAGGTGGTGCTGCATGAGGATAAGAAGTACTACCCCACTGCTGAAGAGGTGTACGGACCAGAGGTGGAGACTGTGGTGCAGGAAGAGGACACGCAGCCGCTCACTGGTTAGTGATGTTAGCGATCGCTGGTTAGTGATGTTAGCGATCGCTGGTTAGTGATGTTAGCGATCGCTGGTTAGTGGCGGTTAGCGATCGCTGGTTAGTGATGTTAGCGATCGCTGGTTAGTGGCGGTTAGCGATCGCTGGTTAGTGATGTTAGCGATCGCTGGTTAGTGATGTTAGCGATCGCTGGTTAGTGATGTTAGCGATCGCTGGTTAGTGATGTTAGCGATCGCTGGTTAGTGATGTTAGCGATCGCTGGTTAGTGATGTTAGCGATCGCTGGTTAGTGATGTTAGCGATCGCTGGTTAGTGATGTTAGCGATCGCTGGTTAGTGATGTTAGCGATCGCTGGTTAGTGATGTTAGCGATCGCTGGTTAGTGATGTTAGCGATCGCTGGTTAGTGAGGTTAGCGATCGCTGGTTAGTGATGTTAGCGATCGCTGGTTAGTGATGTTAGCGATCGCTGGTTAGTGATGCTAGCGATCGCTGGTTAGTGATGCTAGCGATCGCTGGTTAGTGATGCTAGCGATCGCTGGTTAGTGATGCTAGCGATCGCTGGTTAGTGATGCTAGCGATCGCTGGTTAGTGATGCTAGCGATCGCTGGTTAGTGATGTTAGCGATCGCTGGTTAGTGATGTTATCGATCGCTGGTTAGTGATGTTAGCGATCGCTGGTTAGTGATGTTAGCGATCGCTGGTTAGTGGCGGTTAGCGATCGCTGGTTAGTGATGTTAGCGATCGCTGGTTAGTGATGTTAGCGATCGCTGGTTAGTGATGTTAGCGATCGCTGGTTAGTGGCGGTTAGCGATCGCTGGTTAGTGATGTTAGCGATCGCTGGTTAGTGATGTTAGCGATCGCTGGTTAGTGATGTTAGCGATCGCTGGTTAGTGATGTTAGCGATCGCTGGTTAGTGGCGGTTAGCGATCGCTGGTTGGTGGCGGTTAGCGATCGCTGGTTAGTGATGTTAGCAATCAAACAGGGGCATGCAAGGTGTGAGGAATGGGTGACCACAGAGGGTGCGTAGGGGGTAGCGGAGGGGATAGAGAGGGGTAGAGGAGGTGGTCATGATGGAGGGGTGCGTTGGGGTAGGGAGGGAAGGGGGGGGGTCAACGATGGAGGGGTGCCTAGAGGGTAGGGAAGGGGAGGGAAGATGTTTAGGGGCTCCGGTCGTGTTGTGGTGGTTCATGCGTGCGTACGTGCGTGCCTTTGCGCTTGTGCAATGTGCCCTGCAGAGCCAATCATCAAACCCGTGAAAACGAAGAAATTCAGCATGGTGGAGCAGGAGCTGCCACCCACAGTCTACGAAATGGAGTAAGGCTCTGCTTTAAAGACTCAATTTACCGGGTTTCCACTTCAATCTTTTAATCATTTTTCCTTCCCAATTCCATCCGGATTGTGCTGTCGACGGCACATGAAGAGGCGATGTGTGACGCATTTGCACGAATCGATGAAATGGGCGCGTGGTTGTCTCCCTCGCTGTCGGTTAGCAGTGGAAATTTTCAAGAATTTAGATTTAAAGCTTTCGTGACTGCAGGGATTCATCTTCTTGGTTCTTTCGGTAAAGTCACGTAGAAGGGAAAAAATAAAATGATAAAAATAAAACAATAAAATAATTCTGACGACGTTTCGGCCACAACGCAAGCAGCCGTCTTCAGGTGAAGAACAGGTCTGTTGGACTTCAGACGCTGTCTTTCCAACAGACCTGTTCTTCACCTGAGGACGGCTGCTTGCGTGCTGGCCGAAACGTCGTGAGAATTATTTTATTATGTTTTATTTTTATTATTTCCCTTCTACGTGATTTTACCGAAAGAACCAAGAAGATTTCTCAAGAATGTCATTTAATTGTGCAAAGCCTCACCTGACAATCCGTTTGGATCGTTTGCAGCGTCCTCCGCGCGTTCGAGTAAACGTGCTCGCGGAAGTGGATATCCACAGACATTCACCGCCCCATCTCTCCACGTGGCCTCTGGTTGTACGCAGGAGGGGGTGGTGGTTTTGAAAGTCGAACTGATGTTTTCCTTTCTGGAAATTAAACCGGGTGTTCAGATGTCCAAATACCAAATTGGAAGCGTTGGCCGTATGCTCGATTGCTCTTCTTAGCGAGTTGCGATCGGACATGAACTTGTCCATTTTACAAAAAAAATATTTGCGTGTTGAAAATGTTTTTTTATTGTTAATATTCCCTCGGAGGTGGGGGGGGAAGGTGGGGGGGGGGGACGCTCTTGACAGTTCCCTCTTAAAGAGGCCGTTCCGCCAGCAGTGGCACGAGCGAGCAGTCGCCTTTGTAAGTCGAGGCAATTCTCCTACTCCGTGTTGGAAACCAAGCAGAAGGCGGGCGGGGGGGCGCGTGGGTTTTTCTCTCTCCTCGGCGAGTTAATGCGAGCCGCACGTCGTCCCTTTTGAGCGTTGGGCTCGTGCGCGGTCACCAGATGGCAGCGGTCTCTCAATAATGAATCTCATGGCGTGTGTGTGTGTACACGCTTCGCCTGACCATATTATGGATAGATATATATTTTTTATTGTACCAGGTAAGGCCCACTCAGCTGGCTGCATAGCTGTTTTTTAGAGAAATCCACGCTACCACTGGGAGAGAGAGAGAGAGACACGCAAACTTAAAAATATACAGCAGACGTCGGGGTCCCGGTTGAGATCAAACCCACGACCTCCTGTATACCAGGCGAGGTCGTTAACATCTCACCACGGAGAAAGAGAGAGACACGCAAACTCAAAATATACAGCGGGAGGCAGGGTCGGGATCGAACCCACGACCTCCTGTATACCAGGCGAGGTTGTTAACATCTCACCACGGAGAGAGAGAGAGACACGCAAACTCAAAATATACATCGGGAGGCAGGGTCGGGATCGAACCCACGACCTCGTGTATCCAAGGCGAGGTCGTTAACATCTTGCCACGGTGGCAAAAAAAAAACGCTCGTTCGTATTATGAATCACACAGACGCTAGTGACAGATGTAAAAGGGATCACGCTGGCTTTGAAAACCCCCAAAAAACTCCACTTAAATGCATGATTTTCCCCTGGGGCAGCGTGGTGGTGGTGGTGTGTGGGCGGGTGGTGTGTAGATTATTGTGTTGGAAATTGTGCCTAGAGGCCACAAAACAATTGCGTGGCTTTCTCGCGAGACGAGACATTTGGGGCTTGTGTCTCTCGCTTAAACTGTTGACAGCTTGGGGAGAGCCTCGGCTGGTGGGGGGGGGGGGGTGAGTAGGAAGAAATTCAACGGGACGGCGCGTGCGTGCTTGTATGTTAATGTCGTTGAAAGCGACATTTTTAATAACATTGAATTTAGCCAAAAAGTCGTGCTTTGCCGCCCGGCAATAATTTGGTTTGGTTCGCGGATCAATAACGCCCTGCTGGGAAATCCAATTTGCAGATAATTTTATTGCGTGTACTCGGAATTGCAAGTTGATGTGTGTGGTGGGTGTGTGCGCGCCCTCGTATATATGGGGAGCGGTTGTGCTGCACTACGACCCGGGTTCGATTCCCGCACATGGCCAACACCAGTGACGATTATCTGAGCCGGTCCCAGGCCCTCTCCTAGGTCAACACAGCCTCAAATGAGTACCTGGTGCGGTGTAAACATCGCCACTGGGGAGACAAAGGCGGTCTGGCGTGGTGCTGGCCACCCACCCCCTCGTGTGCCGTGCCGGCCTTCATAGGTGCTCGCTAACAGCACTTGCCCCGATAGTCTATTAAGGCTATACGGGGGATAATTGCCTTTCTTTGTTGATATATCGCTCTACCAATTGATCAATTAAAGAGACGCCGCATTGTTATATGGAAGGTGTGTGATCGGGATTTAGAGTGCAGTTCACTGATGTGTGAAGGCGTGTTTGCGCCTCGCTCGTCCCTGGCCCAGTAGATTAATATTGAAGGCATCTTTAGGATCATCATGTTGAGCATAAAGTGGAGTTTGCTCACGTTCGTGATTTAGCTTTTAACGTCCTTGCGGTAGATTTTGGCTTCGCCCTTCTTGCGTCGTTCTCGTGACCCGGGTTCGACTCACCTCCGGTCCCTTTTGAAGTTCTCCACAGTTCAATTCTCACAGCTGTTTGGCAGCGCCACTATCTCCCCCCCCCCCACCCCCCCGACTTGGACTCCACTTCCAACGACACAAAGTTTCCCGTCCGCTCGTGCCGTGTCCGCGAGCGCGAGGTGCAAGGTGCACTGTGCGGGCTCTGCTTTCTTAGCCGGCGTTTAATTACCTGCAAGATGAGGCTTCCCGTGCGCAGCGAGCGGAACTCTGTGGACCCGCGATGGTCATGATGTGCCCTTTGCTTTGAAATCTGCCTTCTGTGCATTGGGGAGAAAGTTGCGATCGCCGAAGCAACGGCGTTTTTTTTTATTACCGAGCGCTGCCACGGTTGTTGGATCGTGCGCGATAAATCGACCGGCTCGTCGCCTTCGCCAGTGCCTGTGTTTTTTTTCAATGCCAGTTGATTTAACAACCATTTATTACTCACAATCCCTTCCGCCCCCCCCCCACCATTTTTTGGAGAATTTTCCTACCCGATCTTTGTCGGAGCTCGGAAGCCCGGCAGGATTTTGTTAGCGCCTGGATAGCGTTTTGGACTGTCGTGAGACGTCTCTCTTTGTTTCGACGAGGCTAGAACCTCGAGAGTGCCAGGATGAAGTCCCCGCCGCTGGTCGACGGGTGAACCCCGTGGTCGCCAACATGACGAAAGCAAACAATAAACAGGCAATAAAGTCAAGCGCATGCTCCTGAAGCAAATGGCAGTCCGAGCAAAAAAGCAACTGCCGTCACGTACGTAACAGCGGGTTGTCTTCGGCGCGTACTTCCTGTGCTTTACATGTCTACGCTACGCTCCCCCCCCCCACCACCTGCCTTTGGTAGCACACGCTGACCGATGCGTGAAGTACGATTGCGTAACCCCCGCGCAGGCAGATGACAGCACCCAGTCGGGCTAACGCGGTAGAGTGTAGAGTTGCGTGACGAGCAAACGGTTGGGCACACGACCGCCCTGAACGACAGACGCTGCGCGGAACAACACATGCTGCTGCAGAGTGTTTGTACGTCAATATATATGTATATTTTTTGTGCGTGTCCGTTTGGGATTGATTCGTGACGTGAGCAGCGGTTCGCAAGCACCGGTCCGGTTAAAAGGAAAGTGCAGTCCTGTGCATAGATTAACCGCGCTGGTTGTGGGTGATTCTTTCCTGCAGGTTTTTGGCCGATCTGATGGACAGCCCTGACCTCATCAGGAACATAGCGGTGTGCGGGCACCTGCATCACGGAAAGGTAACACTCCCCCCCCCACCACCACCCACCTCCACCCACCATCCCCCACCGTCCACAAACCCTCGGCTCTCCCCACTTTTATGTCGTTTCTGCAAACACGTGTCGTCACTTTATTAACAGTGAAGACGTATTTGGACGCCTGCATCATGGAAAAGTAACACCACCCCCCCACCCAACACAAACCCTCGGCTAGGGAAATTCAGTAGTACCGCAGATTTACGTCTCTCCCCTTTTTTTTAACGTCCGTTTCGCCAACACGTCGCCGCTTGATTAACACCGCGACCCGATTTTGCCGTCGCCTCAACCCGCCCCACCCTTCCCCAACACTCACGTAGCCGAAAACGTCGTCGTCCGTCCTTTCCCGTTATCCGTCGGGACGTTAACTCCGGTTAAGTTGCGAGGCCGCGGCTGACGGCGCCACCGTTGCCTCGCGGCGTTACTGGCCGACGTTGCAAATGTCAGTCGATTATCACGATGCGTCAATTGCATTGGGAGAACAGTGAAGTTGGCTTGGGCAGGACATAAAGGTTTCTTTTTGGGTTCGATGGCGTGAGTATAAATGTGTCGTTAATCCGCCACCACCCGACGCAGCCAACCGATAAGATTTGTCACGTAAAGAAGACGTGCCAATTAGTTACCAGTTCAGCCCCACCGGTTGGTTGTGTGTTGGAGAGTATATCTACAACATTTACAATTTGAGTACTGTTACATTTCGCCGGTAATTACATCCAGCATCATCGGGCGACTTTGCCAGAATTGACCGACATGTTCTGGATTTACTCTCCAACGCACCGCTGTGCTGAAGTAAATTTTGTTTACGTGACAAACCCTTAATCTGGTTGGCTGTGGTGGGCGAGTGACACATTTATACTTACGTGACCTAACCCAAAAAAAAAACCTTGATTATGAATAATATTGCACGCGAAAGCCTACTAGGTGTCAAATTGGGCAGGACACTTTTTAAATCCTTTATATTAAGTTCGCTTGCTTGCGTGCTTGCTTGGTTACGACCGTGCAAATCTTTCGGTCGTTTTTTAACCCACTTCCCGTGATCCAATCGAGCTGACATTTTGCACACAGACTCGTTGTGCGAGACAATTAATGTTCGTGAAATTTTTTTTCCAAAATTTTACACTGTTTAGGGAAAACAAATTAAATATTTAATTAGCAATTGCTTAATACTGGCAGACAATCATCTGACCCATAGGTGGCAGCCATCTCAAGCCAGAGGACGAGAGGACTCTAGCCGCCACGCATATAAAGGATTTATAGTGAAAAACTTTGTTTTTACGGGTTATACTTATTAGGAGATGGCGTAAACGGTGGACGATGAGTCGAGGATAATAACTAGTTGCAGCCAAGGCATGGAACGTGTCCTGAGAGGGCATGCAACTGTGTCAAGATGAGGCGGTGAAATGGGCCCACTTTGCAGGTGCTCCGTGGATTAATGACATGGCAGGATGGCGAGAGATGGCGGGCAGCTTGAGAGGGGGGCCTTTCATCCAGCAGTGGATTGACGACGATCATAATGATGACATATGTATGAGTGATCTTCTTGGTTCTTTCGGTAAAGTCACGTAGAAGGGGAATAATGAGACGCTGTCCCATTCAGACGCTGTCTTTCCGACAGACCTGTTCTTCGCCTGAGGACGGCTGCTTGCGTTGTGGCCGTAACGTCGTGAGAATTGTATTTAATTGTTTTATTTTTATTATTTTATTATTTCCCTTCTACGTGACTTTACCAGAAGATGAATCCCTGCAGTCAGGAAAGCTTTAAATCGAAATGTATGAGCTACTTATGAGATGGTCTGCTTATGATGCCCCTGGGTTGCGATTAGATTTACATGGCGTGATGTTGGTAAGGAGCTGTTAAGGGCAGCAATGAGTTTGTTGAGTTGTGTCTTTTTTCATTCCCCGCATCCTTCATTGATTGTCGTGTTGTTACGCAGCGGGCAATATTTTAATCTGCCTACGTTGGGCAATGTCGTTCGAGCCGCCAGATTAACAACGGGGTCTGGCACTCGCCATCTCTTGTAACGTTCGGCCCGTTGCTTTTCATCAGGATTTCCTAGGAAAATTAAGCGCTTCGAATAATTGATTTTGCGGTAACATTTTTCTACTTGTGTTGTTGCCCGTGGTTTTTGTTCGTTAATTGCTTAGCACGGTGTATGGAATTAATCAAGCCGTACCAATAACAATTTACATTTGCAAGGCGCGTTCCATCCGTAAGATCCCAACGATCTCAGGGCAGGAATTGGCCGGCATAGAAATTGTACCATCGTCGGCTCGCGTAACATTCTGTTGACCTGTGCGGAGCGCGCGTCACAACCTTCCCTCTCGTTTGCAGACGTCGTTCGTGGACTGCTTGATCGAGCAAACGCATCCTGAAATCCGCAAGAGAGATGACAAAGATGTGAGTGCCCTCGATATTTGCCGCATTAGAACGCTTGAGCCCAGCATCCTCGTTTGGCTACAGAAGTCAGAGGTTTAGTCGGGTGGTGGGGTGGAGGGGTGCTGGTGGTGGTAGGGTGGGGTGGGTCGGGGGGTGGGGGAAGTAGGGCAGTTTGTTCCAGGGCTCAGGTCCGAAGGGGGCCTCAGAAAAGGCGCCAAGGGGACTTGAGAAGAGGACACATTTGGCATATTGCCCTGCGCCTCCGCAAACATTTTGATGGCCCTACGCAACACCCTGGTCCCTGAAGGCAGCCATAACACCCTGGGGGCAGCGTAGGGCGATCGTTGCCAGGAGGTCGTCACTTCCAATGGCCGTCACGCATTTTTTGTTACTCTTTAACGATTTCAGTTTCCCATATGCGGGCAAATCTGGTTTGTTGCTGTTCCTGGTGAGCAACTGGGACGGACGCTTTCCGGTTCAGGGGGCGGGAACCTGCGGCTCCGGAGCCGAATGCGGCTCTTTGAGCAACGGCTTTGTCACTGTTGTTCATGAAGCAGAACACAGTGCAATGCAGCTCTTGGAATGTTTAGGTTTTTTTTGCGAATTCCCCCAAAAATTGCCCTCATTATTTCGTTTGCCGACCCATGTTTTGCGTCGGATCACGGAGGTCATGTGACCGCCCCCACAGGTTTCAGTGAGCCGACCGATCACTTTTGATCATCGAACTAAGTCTTCAACAAACTTTTTATTTTTTCCATTGATCAGACAGAACTTAGGCCACGCTGTGACGTTGCCCTTCCAATTCTCCCCGTGGTTTCTCCGAGTAATTGTGTTTGCCGGAGAGGTGCCGTGTGCCGTTAAGGCTTGTGATAAAATTGGACCGTAGATCACCAAGTTGACCCCCCCAGAGTTTGGCAGCGTGCGTGCTCGCTCTCACCTGTCTCGGGTCTCGTTAAGATAACCCAGTTGGAGTGTTGTTGGTAGCTGATTGTCTCACCCCGGTCACCTATGATTGCGCCAAAATACCTAGCGCGTTACATTTTCTTTGGCGCGTAATTTGGCTCATTTCCAGCTCTTTGAGAATGACGCGATCGGTTTTGCCGTCGTGAGACGGGGCGTTGCTGCCATTCGCAGAGCGGGCGATGAAGCATGCCACCCCCCCCCCACCCCCCCGACTGTATGCACTGGAGGTCACATGAAGGCATGCGAGCGGTAGCTCTGATATTCTCTTCTGTGGGCCCTTCTACCCTAGCGCGAAGGGCTGCCACTGCTCTCGTAGAGGTGAATTGATTCTAGATTTGAATTTTTCGTGACTGCAAGGATCCATACTTGGTTTTTTTCGGGAAAAATTACGTAGGTAAAAAATAAAATAAACTTAAAATGAAAACAACTAAATTAAATCACGATGTTTTGGAGGCAACACAAGCTTCCGTCTTCAGGTGGAACCGTCACAGCACGATAGCTGTATCAAGGTGCTATCGTGCTGTGACGGTTCCACCTGAAGACGGAAGCTTGTGTTTTCTCCGAAACTTCGTGATTTTTATTTTATTTTACTTTTATTAATTTACATTTTTTACCTACGTGACTTTACCGAAAAAAACCTAAGAATATTTATTTTTTACCTACGTGACTTTACCGAAAAAACCAAAGAGTGGGTGAATTGATTCTTCTTCTCGGCGCGTGTGAAGCCGATCGCACAATCGGGATAAACGTGTTTGGGTGCTGAACAAATGTCCACAAGAGAATTGAGTAAAAACAACAGCACTCTGCTGGAGTCGTGGAATACGAGGCACGTGAGGGTGGAGTTTGCTTTCATCCGTATGTTTTATTAATAGTGAAACAAATAAAATCTTTAAAACGTTAGGCGTAAATCTTTTTAGATTTGAAACTTTCGTGACTGCAAGGATTCATACTCTTTGTATTTTTCGGTAAAGTCACGTAGGCAATTTTTTTTTTTTATAAATAACATAAACGTAGCGAACGCGCACCGTGCTTTCGCTACATTGTCGCGATGTAATTTAGTTTTCATTTCTTTTATTTAAAAAAAAAAAATTACCTACGTGACTTTACCGGGGGCAAAAAAAAGAGTGTATTTATTTTTTCCCTTCGGGCAGTATCATCACACCGCATAGCAATTTGTGCGTCAGTTGACGTGGCTATATGTGCCACGTCAAACTGCAGTCCTTTAATCGATGTTGAAATGGTTTGTATTGACGCGTTTGTGTGCGTGTGTCTTTGCGTGCAGCTGCGGTACACCGACACGCTGTTCACGGAGCAAGAGGTAACGATCGCGCACGCCCCCGATTGCCTTTTCACAACCACCGACAGACACCCCGCGGAGATTTTCACCACCCAGAGCTTTGGTTCAAATCTTATCGTCTCCCCCTCCAGCGTTTCGATTAGCACGGTTGACTACGTGCGGTGCAAAAGAAGTTCAACATACACCGCACCTCCGATTAGCACGGTTGGATCCGTACGGTGCGAAAGAATAGTAATAGGTTTTTACCCTTTTATTTGGCAACAAAACTGAAGGAGGTCTCATCATGTAAATGCTTACCCCGAGCTCTCAATACTCTGATGGTGCGTTGTCTTTGATTTGTGCGCCTTTTGGCGTCATCTGATCCAACACCATGTGAGACTGGGCTCTAAGAAAAGTTGTCTCGGGTGTGGACCAATCAACTTCAAGGACAGTGCATACATTATCAGAGTTGTGTTTTTTGTTTGCATTTTGACCGCAAGTGTTGTGGTTAAATTTCGATTTAAAGCTTTCGTGACTGCAGGGATTCATCTTCTTGGTTCTTTCGGTAAAGTCACGTAGAAGGGAAGTAATAAAATAATAAAAATAAAATTGAGAATTGTTTTATTATGTTTTATTTTTATTATTTTATTACTTCCCTTCTACGTGACTTTACCGAAAGAACCAAGAAGAGTGTTGTGGTTAATGCAAACATGATCCCTTGTATAAAGGTGTCAGTTTTGTTGCCAGATTAAAGGGTTAAAACCTATTACTAAATGAACATATTTTTCAATCACATATATATGATTGATTACGCATGTTAATTTAACTCGAGAGGTTCTTGCCAGGGTTTAGCAGTAGGTGTTGGCGATTGCTAAGCGTCAAGAGGTCGCAACCGGGTACCCGATACCCGTACCCTACCCGATACCCGGCTACCCGTACCCGGCCGGGTATGGGTACGGGTACCCGTTTGCGACCCTGGTGCGGCCGGGTACGGGTAAGCCGTGAGTCACTGGTGAGTAACCGTTTGTCACTCATTTCCCAACGTCTTGTCTCTTCTCACAATTCAAGTTCCTAGAATCAACCCACCCGCGCCTGCAACATAGCTTCATCCCAGAGGTCACAATCGGGTACCCGATACCCGGCCGGGTACGGGTAGCCGGGTATCGGGTAGGGTACGGGTACGGGTACCCGTTTTCGACCCTGGTGCGGCCGGGTATGGGTAAGAAATCAAAACCCGTTTGCGACCTCTGCTAAGCGATTCCCAATTTATTGATTTGCGGGTTCATTTTTCGAATTTGGAAAATGCCGCCACCGCCGCTGCACAATCACCTGCTCCCTCTTGCAATGACACCACTGCAATTTTAACGTCCTCTGCTAAGTGCACGGAGCGTATTTGTTTAGTGTTTTTGATGGTTGGTGCACGGCCAGTATTAACCTGGGCCGATTCGTATGGCGAACCTCTGCGACTAAGCTAGACTTTTTATTTTACCAGGTAAGGCCCACTGAGCTATGAAGCTCTTTCTCCGAAGCGGCCTGGCTATCACAAATGATAGCTCAACGAAGTGGGCTTATCGTCACGTGGAAATTTATAGCAGCAGCCAAATACTCTAAACGCATGGTGTTGATTCTAAACGTGGAAGAAATGACGGAGGACCCAGAGAAAAAATCCACGCAACCACGGGGAGAGAGAGAAAGAGACACTCAAACTCAAAATATACAGCAGGCATCGGGGTCGGAATCGAACCGACGACCTCCCGTATACCAGGCGAGGTAGTTAACATCTCTTAGCCACCGTGGTGATGATGATGATGAGAGAGAGACACGCAAACTCCAAATATACAGCAGCAGGCGTCAGGGTCGGGATCGAACCGACGACCTCCCGTATACCAGGCGAGGTAGTTAACATCTCTTAGCCACCGTGGTGATGATGATGATGAGAGAGAGACACGCAAACTCCAAATATACACAAGCAGGCGTCAGGGTCAGGATCGAACCGACGACCTCCCGTATACCAAGCGAGGTAGTTAACATCTCTTAGCCACCGTGGTGATGATGATGATGAGAGAGAGACACGCAAACTCCAAATATACACAAGCAGGCGTCAGGGTCAGGATCGAACCGACGACCTCCCGTATACCAGGCGAGGTAGTTAACATCTCTTAGCCACCGTGGTGATGATGATGATGAGAGAGAGAGACACGCAAACTCCAAATATACAGCAGCAGGCGTCAGGGTCGGGATCGAACCGACGACCTCCCGTATACCAGGCGAGGTAGTTAACATCTCATGGCCACCGTGATAATGATGAGAGAGAGAGACACGCAAACTACAAATATACAGCAGCAGGCGTCAGGGTCGGGATCGAACCGACGACCTCCCGTATACCAGGCGAGGTAGTTAACATCTCTTAGCCACCGTGGCGCCCCTGTGACAAGCAGCGGGGACTCGGCCACCGCCGGGTCGTGACGTCACCACCCCACACGATTGTCACGAATCAGGAAGCGTGACGATCGATTTTGAACGGGCCATTAGGTGCTTTGGTCTACGCCCGTAATTTGTTCACAGTTCGTCACATTTGTGTCGGGCAGTCTGGGACACGGCCTAGAAAGACGACGAGAGATGTTTCCCCTTTGGGTTTGCGTCTTGCTATCATCCGTCTTCGTGGTCCTATTTCTATGGGACCCTTTTGACAGGATCAAAAAATGGGCTTTACCCCTTTCTGGCAATAAAACAGGTTTTGAAATTTTGATTTAAAGCTTTCGTGACTGCAGGGATTCATATTATTGGTTCTTTCGGTAAAGTCACGTAGAAGGGAAAAAATAAAATAATACAAATATAAAACAATACAATTCTCACGACGTTTCGACTGCAACACAAGCAATCATCATCAGGTGTGAAATCCACAAATTTTCTTGCTGTGGATTTCACACCTGAGTATGATTGCTTGTGTTGCAGTCGAAACGTCGTGAGAATTTTATTGTTTTATTTTATTATTTCCCTTCTACGTGACTTTACCGGAAGAACCAAGAATAGGTTTTAAAATGTTCACACACTAAACAGACACCTATTGCAAGACGACAAGCCCCCCCCCGCATGAACCACACAGGTACTTGTGGCGAAACATGCGAGCAGAAATGCTCTCTGATAATACACGCGTTGCCTTTTAAACTGATTAGCTTACGCCAGAGTTACAGACTTCTTTATGGCCTAGTCTGCACCAGTGTTAGATCAGAGAACAAAGGCGAAAGGCGATCCCCATAGCCGATGTTGACGACGACGACGCCGGCGACGATTTTTCTGTGTCGTGGTGCAACGCATTGGGGTAGTCGTTTGAAGTGTTTCGCGTGGCCGTGCCGCTCTCTGCGCAGAGAGGGGTGAGCATCAAGAGCACTCCGGTGACCATGGTGCTGCCCGACTCGAAAGGGAAATCCTTCCTCTTCAACATCATGGACACGCCGGGTGAGTGATGCGGTCACCGCCGCCTGTGCTTGCCCGCGTTGTCGCGGTTCGCGAAACTCAGCGGTGCGCGCTACAAATGTGAATGGCTTTTTTCAATTCCGCGTGTGGTGCGCGGTTGTTTTTTGTGTTCCGGTTTTGTTTTTCTACGGGACTTTCTTTTGGCGGAAGGGCAGTTTGCTCGTCAAAACGATGAGAAATGAATCGGCTTTATCCTGTCCGGCAACAATTACAGGTGTTAGGATATGTTCAAATATTTGCTCAATCCACGCTAGTAATACCTTGATATTTCCAACCTTTATGCTGTTTGCCTTTTGGCGTTCTCTCATCTAACGCTGGTGGTGAGACAAGGCTATGAAGGGGAGGCTGTCTCTGGTGTAGGCCGATCCGTTTCAAAGTCAATGCGAATGTATGGGGCACAGGCGGTGCATCGGCCAGTTATCTCAGTCAGTCGACCCGTGGCACCTGGGTCTGCCCCGTGACCTCTCCTGCCAGCGGGCGTTCGACACTTCACGTGGTCTCAACGTGCACATAGCCTGGCACAAGCGCCGTGGGGACGTCACCGCCACTTAGTGGCGAATGGCGGTTGTTGTTGTGTGGGATTTGAAGTTGACGATGGCATTTTCTTCTTTCAGGGCACGTCAATTTCTCCGACGAAGCCACGGCCTCCTTCAGGCTGTGCGACGGCGTTGTGCTCTTCATTGACGCAGCAGAGGGGGTGAGGTTCATTTATTTTTGTTACACACCCTGTATTCTATTGCGTGTTTAATTAACTCGCCTTCGTGAAGCAACGTTAGCCAGCCATTAAACAGTACTTGACAACGTGAAAAACAAAAGGCATGCTCGCAAACGGTCATAAGGCGGCGCGACTCCCATCATGCCTTGCGTGCCACTGTCCACGTGACCACCAAATGGCACGTGCAACGCTCTGCCTCGTCTGCTTTTATCAACGCCGATTTGTTTGAGGCCCGCACGCATTTTCCTGTTGCGATAACGTTTTTCCTCATCAGTTTAACATAACGCGTAGTCCTTCGCGACCAATATCCATAATAGAGGGGGTTTTTCGGGGTTAGATCACGTAAATATACAAATTGCCGTTGAACCACCACCACCAGACACAACCAATTAGTAAAGGTTTATCTTCCTGGTTCTTTTGGTAAAGTCACGTAGAATGGAAATAATAAAATAATAAAAAGAAAACATAATAAAGTTTTTTCACATAAACAAAACATGCCAATTGGTTACTTGTTCAGCACACCGCTTGTGTGTTGGAGAGTAAACCCACTACAACATTTACAATCATTTACAGAAAGCGGTCGATTTGGATTATTATCATTCGGAGTATTTGGATGCCTCTCTAACATATAGCTCTGGATGTACCTGCAGCACACTGATTAGAAGTACTCCAATACTTGATTCAATCTTGATTTGAAGCTTTCGTGACTGCAGGAATCCACACTCTTTGGTTCTTTTGGTAAAGTCACGTAGGTAGAAAAATAAAATAAATGACGACGTTTCGGGCGCAACACAAGTGTCCGTCATCAGGTGGGAAAGCATGGCCTGCTGCTGATGCAGACTGTTTGCATCATCAGCAGGCCTTACTTTCCCACTTGATTCAGTGCATACCGCCTGCTATGGCATTATGGTTCAGCAGCACAGTCTTTAACACGGCTGGTGAAGTATGTCGTATATAACGCCCCGATGGCAGCCTGTGAATGGAAGATGAGCGCCACCTTGGGTGCTCGTTTGAGCAGCAAATCACTGACGCCTTGGTGCCCCGTGTGAACTGCAAGCAACCGTGTTGAGCAACTGGTTGCACGGGCATCCACATGTAAGCGATTCGGTTTTAAGCAACTCGCAAGCCGAGCAAACGCTCGCTTCGGAGTGGACACGGCCCAGCGTTTGGCTTGTCCATCGTGGTCTCGACACAAAGATAAAGATCCCCCGTATAGCCTGTAACGGACTGTTGAGGCGAGTGCTGTTAGCGAGCAGCACCTACGAAGGCCGACGACACGGCACACGACGGGCTGGGTGGCCGGCACCGCGCCCGGCCGCCTTTGTCTCCCCAGTGCCGATGTTTACCACGCATCGCACCGGGTGCTCATTTGAGGCCGAGTCGATCTAGGGGCGGCCGCGAGCGGGAATCGATCTCGGGCCCCCCCCCCCCCCGCCGGCTTTCGTAGCGCCAGCAGACGCGCCAACACCGCTCCGCCGCCCGCCCGCCCCCAGGTGATGCTCAACACCGAGCGGCTGATCAAGCACGCGGTCCAGGAGCGCCTCGCCATCACCGTGTGCATCAACAAGATCGACCGGCTGGTGCTGGAGCTCAAGCTGCCGCCCACCGACGCCTACTTCAAGTTGCGACACATTGTGGACGAGGTCAACAGCCTGTTGAGGTTCGTAGCGCCGTGCGCGCGCGTCGAACCCGCTCGCTCGCTCGCTCGCCCGCCCGCCCGCCCCGAGCAAATGGTTCGGAGGTGAACGGAGGACCCACCTTGCAACTTGCAGACGTCACGGAGCGGGAAAGGGGTCCGGGTGTGCTCGGACGGTCTCGCGCGCCGATCTTTCGTCGTGTCTCTCTCTGCATTGCGCCCGTTGCAACGCGTTGACCTGGACCCCGTGCGTTTACGCCGCCGCAGCTTGTACTCGGAGAGCGAGGACGGCCTCGTGGTGTCGCCACTGCTGGGCAACGTCTGCTTCGCCAGCTCGGAGTACAGCGTCTGCTTCACGCTCGGCTCCTTCGCCAAGATCTACTCCGACGTCTACGGTGAGAAAACTGACACCTTTTTACAAGGAGTCAAGTTTGCATAGACCGCAATACCTGCAGTCATAATGCAAACAAAAAACACAACTCTGATAATGTATGCACTGTCCTTGAAGTTGATTGGTCCACACCCGAGACAGCTTTCCTTAGAGCCTAGTCTCACATGGGTTGGACCAGATGACGCCAAAAGGCGCACATAGAAGGGTAAAAAAACCAATTATCATATTTTTACTGGCAAATGAGGTTCCCATAGTGTCTACGGTGAGCTTTTGTTAAAAAAACGAACGTTGCTTGCGCAAGGTTGGGTGGGGTGGGGGGGGGGTCCGTCCGTGGCCTTGTTGCCACGCTGCTGTAAGTTTAAGGCGCTGCTGCTGACGAATGTAGCCGAGTGCGTGTGTGGTGGCGTAGCGGTGGGGGGGTAGCGGTTGGCGTGCTGAGTCTACGAACCCGGCGACCACGAGTTCGATTCCCACTCACGGTCAACGCCTGTGACGAAATATCTGAACCGGTCCTGGGCCTCCCCTAGGTCGACTCGGCCTCAAATGAGTACCCGGTGAGGTGTGTAAACATCGCCGCTGGGGAGACAAAGGCGGTCGGACGTGGTGCTGGCCACCCACCCCCCCTCGTGTGCAGTGCCGACCTTCATAGGTGCTCGTTAACAGAACTTTCCCCAACAGTCTGTGCCACTGCCAATGGGGCCCTCAACTTTGGGCCTGTGACGCGCAGGCCCGTTGTAAATACAACACGGTGCCCGTCGTGCGTTTGCATCCCGTTAAAAACCGTCTTGTTTGATTTTTACAGGCGATGTCAGTTACCAAGAGTTTGCCAGACGCCTCTGGGGAGACGTTTACTTCAACCCCAAGACGTGAGTCCTTTGTCAACGGTGCAGCCGGCAGAGCGTGCAGGGCTGGTGACGGGGGGGGGTGGGGGGGTGGTGGGGAACAGTGTCTTTGTTCACTGCTTTCGATTACTTTGCGGCTATTACTGTCCAATTGATAAGCGACTTTGTTGAGCTATCGTCTGTGGTCAGGTCGCTTTTGGAAAATAAGTGAATAGCGCAGTGGGGGGCATTGTCTGGCAGGGTGGGGATGGTTTAGTTGTTGTATTTGTTTGTGTTTGGGTGATCCGTTTACCTTTCTTGTATCGTGTTCTTGTACTGTTTGTTCTCGTAGCGTTCTTACCGCGTGGCCCCGACTGGACATCTGTGAACAAAGAGCTTCATAGCTCATCGGATTCCTCCTGCAGTATAAATAAATGTTATGAATCTGATCGTTTGGAAAGGAGAGGGACGGGCGTTTCTCCGCAACGAATTGTGGTGGCTGTCACCTGCTTGGCTGCTGGTCATCGTTTCTCACTTTGAATGGGGGGGGAGGGAGAGGTTGGTGTGGCTTGGTAACTTAAACTGGCAGAGAAAGGACATCTTTGCTTCTGTCACCTTGCTAGACATCACTTCTGCTGGTGGGCCAGAGGTCGCAATCGGGTACCCGATACCCGTACCCTACCCGATACCAGGCTACCCGTACCCGGCCGGGTACGGGTACCCGTTTGCGACCCTGGTGCGGCCGGGTACGGGTGAGTCACCATTTGTCACTCATTTCCCAACGTCTTGTCTCGTCTCACAATTCAAGTTCCTAGAATCAACCCACCCGCGCTTGCAACATGGCTTCATCCCAGAGGTCGCAATCGGGTACCCGTTTGTGTCCCTGGTGCGGCCGGGTACGGGTAAGGAATCAAAACTGGTTTGCGACCTCTGTGGTGGGCCCTGCATTTGACAGGTATTGCTTTTCAGGGGCTCTTGGCTTTGAGGCTTTAAAGGGGTCCTCGGTGGTATGCTGGTCGCAGGCTGTGTTCCGTGCAGTTGTGATGCCCCTTGCCGCTCGTCAAAATTTCGAGCGAGCGGACACTGATCCGTTGCCGATCCCCGTGCCAGGCGGCGCTTCACCAAGAAGCAGCCGGACACCAACGCTCAGCGCAGTTTCGTGGAGTTCGTCCTCGAGCCGGTCTACAAGATCTTCTCGCAGGTGCCCGCCCCGCTCGCCCGCTCGCCCGGCCGGCCGCGACCGCCGCTGGCGCGCAGGGTCTTCCCCATCGCTCTGTGCAACCCATCCGAGTCAGTGGGCCGCGCGAGAGCGGCGCTCCTGGGTGGCTCTCCTGAGTGCTCGTGCACCGTCTGCGTCCCCACGACCACACGCGTCGCCCCCTGGAGCCAGGGGCCCTGCGCCCAAAATGACAAGAAGGGCCTTTTTTTAAAGCCACGCGGTGAATACAAGTGACACGATGGTCTTTGATAAATAACGTCACGGAGCGGTCCTGAAAGAGCCTTGTGCTGGATTTGAAGCTTTCGTGACTGCAAGGATTCATACTCTTAGTTCTTTCGGTAAAGTCACGTAGGTAAAAATGAAATTAAAATTAATAAAAATAAAATAATAAAATCACGACGTTTCGGAGGCAACACAAGTCTCCGTCATCAGGTGGGACCGTCGCAGCCCTTGATGCAGCAAATCTGGCTGTGACGGTCCCACCTGATGACGGAGACTTGTGTTGCCTCCGAAACGTTGTGATTTTATTGTTTTATTTTTATTAATTTTAATTAAATTTTTTACCTACATGGTGACTTTACCGAAAGAACTAAGAGTATGAAGCCTTGTGCTGCTCCGGAGCCGCATGTTGGGGACCGCTGTCCTAGAGACGCTTAGACCAGGCCGCCATGGGCTGCATTATTCGATTTTATCTTTACCAGGTAAGGCCCCACTGAGCTATATAGCTTCAATTTTTTCAGAAGCGACCCGGCCGCAAACGATAGCTCGACAAAGTGGCTTATCGCGTGGAAATGTACAGCGGGCAAATTCTCCAAAACGCACGTCGATTCTAAATGGGGAGGGAAAAACGGGGAGGGCCCCCTGGGCAGGGAGTCTGTGGCGCCGTCTCGAGAGGGTCACGCGTTTGGCACAACGGTCCCTCACTGACGGTGTTGCGACGAACGATTGAGTGAATGTGATGCGAATGCTGCCCAGGTGGTGGGGGACGTGGATGTGCTGCTTCCACGGACGCTGGAGGAGCTCGGCGTGCATCTCACGAAGGAAGAGCTCAAGATGAACATCCGCCCCCTCCTGCGCCTCGTCTGCAAGCGCTTCTTCGGCGACATGACCGGTAACGCTTGTGATGAGTGTCCGCGTGCTCTGTTCCCCAGTGTGTAACGAAATACGTAATAACCGGTACCTTATACAGCAGGGCCATACTATGGTACGTGACAACCTCTTCGACTGCAGAACCTGAGCCGTGCCGCTGACGTCGCGCGCACTGAACGAGGCGCGCGTCGGTGACGCGGTGACGCCGTGTCCTCGTGGTGTACCGACTGTCGTGCCACTCTGTGAACGTGCCGAGGTGTGCGTCGGTGCCGCGGTGACGCGGTGACGCCGTGTGCTCGCTGTGTACCGACTGAACAAATTGAGATGCCTGTAGCTGGCACAATCACGCCGCGTCCTCGCGGCTCGCCGACCGACCAAACGGAGACGCGTGTGGGGGCGACGGGACGTCGCTGGCGTTGCGAGTGAGCCGGCGTTACGCGTTGACCGTGCGCGCAGGGCTGGTGGACATGTGCGTGGAGCACGTGCCGTCGCCGCAAGCCGGCGCGCGCACCAAGATTGAGCACACCTACACGGGCCCCCTGGACTCGGAGCTGGCCGACGCCATGCTGGACTGTGACCCCGACGTGAGTGCGCTTGAGTTTCACGCATCGTCATTGTCGTCGTCATCTTTGTCGTCATCTTCACCGTCGTCATCTTCGTCATCATCATCTTCATCGTCGTCATCTTCGTCGTCATCTTCATCGTCGTCGTCGTCGTCATCTTCGTCATCATCGTCGTCATCGTCGTCATCTTCATTGTCATCGTCGTCATCATCTTCGTCATCCTCGTCGTCGTCGTTATGCGGATGTTCAGAAATAAAACGTCGTTCAAGACGCAAGCGTCTCACCTCCTGCGTTTGACGTTCATCATTTCTTTAGATACGTCAACTCGTTTATTCATAACTGCTCATTGTGTGTGTAGTTTGCTGTCCTTCCCCCGTTCCTCCGATTATCATGGTCAGCTACGTATGGTGCAAAATAATTTAAAAATACACACTCGTGTGTGTGTGTCTCCCTTCCTGACGGCAGGGGCCTCTCATGTGCCACACGACCAAGATGTACAGCACGGAGGACGGCGTGCACTTCCACGCGTTTGGCCGTGTGCTCGGCGGCACGCTGCACGCGGGGCAGGACGCCCGCGTGCTCGGGGAGAACTACACGCTGGAGGACGAGGAGGACTCGCGCATCTGCGCCGTCGGGCGCCTCTGGATCTCCGTGGCGAGGTTGGTGGGCGCTGGAGGCGGCGGGGAATTGGTGTGTGTCTGTGTGGGTGTAGTGTAGGGGTTAGCGCGCTGCGCTGTGAACCCGGCAACCCGAGTTCGATTCCCGCTCACGGCCAACACCAGTGACGATTAGCTTAACCGGTCCTGGGCCTCCCCTAGGTCGACTCAACCTCAAATGAGTACCTGGTGCGATGCGTAAACATTGTCACCACTGGGGAGACAAAGGCGGTCGTGCGTGGTGTTGGCCACCCACTCCCTCGCGTACCGTTTCGGCCTTTATAGGTGCTCGCTCACAGCACTTGCCCCTATACTCATTTAAGGCTACACGGGGGATATTTATCTTCGTGTGTGGGTGGGTGTGTGTGGGTGTAGTGTAGCGGTTAGCGCGCTGGGCTACGAATCCGAAGACCCAGGTTCGATTCCCGCTTACGGTCAACGCCAGTACTGGGTCTGCCGTAGGTCAACTCGGCATCAAATGAGTACCTGGTACGGCGTGTAAACATCGGCACTCGGGAGATAAATTCGGCCAGGCGTGGTGCTGGCCACCCACCCCCTCGTCTGCCGTGCAGGCCTTCATAGGTGCTCGCTAACAGCACTTGCCCCAAGAGTCTCTGAAGGCTATACGGGGGGGGGGGGGGGGTTCTTTTGCCTTTATCTTTGTGCGCGCAATGTTGACCATGGGTTGCCGTGTCCAGGTACCGCATTGAAGTGAGCAGAGTCCCGGCTGGAAACTGGGTGCTCATCGAAGGCGTGGATCAGCCCATTGTGAAGACGGCTACAATCACAGAGCCCACAGGCACCGACGAGGTGAACCACCGCATTGTTTTCATCGCAGTGCTCTCTGAAATTTAGCTTTGCTATATTCTTTCTCTTTCTTCTTTCTCCACCGCTGGTTGCTTTAATGGCTTTATTTTGGTGATTTGGAAAAGTTTTTTTTGGTTTGGCCATATTTGTTTGTTGTAGTACGGAGTTAGAATGATGGCTTTAATCTATGTTGTCTTGTGGTTGTTGTTGTTGTTTGACTTGCATCCCACTGGGATTTTTGCACACGGCGTTGTTGTACGGTGCTTTTTTTTCTGGCAGTTATTTCCTGGATTTTTCTTTTCGCGCATAGTCACATAGTCACTGTAAGATGTTTTCTTGTTCATGTATTTTTCTTTGTTGCGGTTGCACCCGATTCAAGAGCCGAATGGCTCACAGGGCTATACCAAAGTTTCACCTGCACTCATCACACACAAAGTGGCTTGCCACGAGTGAACCACAACACCTTGCCGATCTGGTCATCGCGCCAGCTCCGGGCATCCCTCGCAGCAGCAGCAGCGGTGGTTTTAGGCTGGCCATCAAACAAAGACGGTGACGACCGCATCGCCCGCTTTCAGATGCGCTTCTGCGGCCGATGTTCGGAAGCCACTGGGAGCCATGCACTTTGAAATCTAGAATGAAAACCCATTTCTTTAGAACCTGCTTTTTGTGTTTAGTTTGTTGTCCCGCCCGCCCCGCGCCTCCGATTCTCACGGTTGGCTACATAAATACATTCATACATATCACGGCCGTACCACAAAGGTCGAGAACCCCCATTGCAATTAAGGGGGGCGAGGGTTGTCTGCGAAGGGCTTTGGTCGTGAGGATACGATCCCTTTCCCCCCCTTGTGCTCGCGCGAACAGGCCCAGATCTTCCGACCGCTCAAGTTCAACACGTCGTCTGTCATCAAGATTGCCGTCGAGCCCGTGAACCCGTCGGAGCTGCCGAAGATGTTGGACGGCCTGCGTAAGGTCAACAAGAGTTATCCCGTCCTCACGACCAAGGTACACCTCCTCACTCGGCGGGAGAGGGCGCTTGCTGCTCTTCCAACGGCATTCTCCGCTAAATGTAAAGCTCCTCCCACCCTCAACCAGTATATATACAAATATGGTGTTCTTGGAATTTCTCTCACTTGATACAGCTATCGTGCTGTGACGGTTCCACCTGAAGACGGAAGCTTGTGTTGCCTCCGAAACGTCGTGATTTTTATTTTATTTTTATTTTACTTTTATTCATTTAATTTTTTCACCTACGTGACTTTACCAGAAAAAACCTAAGAATATGAATCCTTGCAGTCACGAAAGCTTCAAATCTAGAAATGTAAAGCTGTCGTTTTTCTTTCACATCTCTTTTTCCACTACATAACAACCGAACCGCTCCAGGCCCGTGCCGAGCCCAAGCCCGGTTGTAGCTCAGTCGGCGCCAGGTTTGTTTTTCCACTTGAAGAATGCCGAGCCGTGCCACCGCCGTCACCCGCGATAAACGACCGGGGACGCGCGGCTGAAGCGGTCGCGCCTTGTCCTCGCCACCGTACAGGCTGTGACGTCGCTCGCGACGAACCCGTCAGTAGCCTGCCTCCTGGCCCTGCTTGGCCCCATCCCCGAGTCAGAATCGATTGTCTCGCGAAGCCATTGAACCGCAGCTCGATGCCTGACGTCGCTCGCGACAAACCTGTCATTAGCCTCCCTCCTGCCCTGCTTGGCCCCACACCACCACCTTGAGCCAGATTTGAATATCTGGCGAAGCCATTGAATCATGGCCTAGTTCTGGCCCTCGGGACATGGTAGGTGGCCAGTGGAAAACCCACTCCCCCCCCGCCCCCTCCCTCGTTACCGTGAGCGCCCTGCGCTGGCTCGGCTCGGCTTGACTCGGATGTGCCAGTGGAAAAGCGGGATCGCGCGTGCCGACGTGAGTTGACAGCTCTGCTCGTTCGCGCGCGCAGGTGGAGGAATCGGGGGAGCACATCATCCTGGGCACGGGGGAGCTCTACCTGGACTGCGTGATGCACGACCTTCGCAAGATGTACTCCGAGATCGACATCAAGGTTTGTGCTTTGGCGACCGTCGCACCGCTGGCTGTGTGAACGGAAGCCTCTTTAAGATGCGGGGATCCGAATCTTCGCTGCGTTTTGCCGGGTCAGAGGCTTCGGTCGATGGCGTGGGGGGGGGGATTCAAGCTGTTTCCTGTCGGTGTAACAGACCCCAGAATCTGGGACAAGTACCCAGGGTCTCAAGTTTGCTGTGGGCATAACTTGTCTATTCAACGTGCAGCTGAATCAGCAAAAGGCTTATAGTGTTTATTTTATAATTTTACCGATTGCACCAAGCCCATTGGTCCCGGCGCTCCGAGAGCGATCGGACCAGTGTGAGGGGGTAAATCGTTACATTCACGATCATCGCCATGCATTAACAAGTTTAAGTGTTCTCCACGCAATAAATTTCACTGTGTGCGTGTAATTTTAAGCTCATATCTCCTCTGGTCTGTTGCCCGCACCAATCGCGGTGGCTCGGAGATGTTAACTACCTCGCCCGGTATACAGGAGGTCGTGTGTTCGATCCCAACCCTGACGCCTGCTGCTGTATATTTGGAGTTTGCACGTTCTCCCGGTGGTCGTGTGGATTCTTTTTTTCCCCTCCACGTTTAGAATCGACATCACGTGTTTAGAGCATTTGGCTGCTTCAAATTTCCACGCGATGATAAGCCACTTGGTTGAGCTATCGCTTGTGACGGACAGCTTCTGACACGGAGCTTATGTAGCTCAGAAGTGGGCCTTACCTGTGTAATGGGTTCCGGAGACACTTGTAGAGGTAACTTCTTTATTACAATACAACACTCCCAACAGTCCTGATACTCTGTTACAGCCTAGGTACACAGCCTAGGTACACAGCCTAGATACACTACTCTGGCTACGCTCTGGGGTCCTCCGGCTACAATTACCCTCGGGGAGGCTACCTGACCCGACTCAGCCAAGGTGCGGGTCTGGACTCTGGCTTCCTCGGAACTCGCCCTCACAAGGACGTAGAGCCGGGAGTCCCAGAGTCCCACCACTGGCCCTCACAGCGTCCCGGCCCTTACAAGGACAAGCGGGACGAGGGGGTCCAGGGTCCTAAGCTGGCTGGCTGGCGGGTCTTGGGTCTTGAGCTGCGACTGGCCCCGATCGGCCAGGGAGCTGCCCTTTTATGCCTCGTCCCCAACTAGGGGTGGGGTTGTGTGCGCCCCCAGGTATCCCACAGAGCACATACAGCCCCCCCCCCCGTTGGTGGCGCCAAGGGGCTTAACTGTCTGGGGTGCCTGGGATCCTGGTGCCGAGGGCTTATCTGTCTATGGTCCCAGAGCCCCCAGCAGCCCCTCCCCTCTTATGGTACTACACCTGGTTAAATAAAAATAAAAATGTTTTAGATCTCCTGTGCTGCGTGATGAAGGTTATGTCCCCACGTCCTTCCGCAGGTTGCTGACCCTGTCGTGTCTTTCTGTGAGACCGTGGTGGAGACCTCCTCCTTGAAGTGCTTTGCTGAGACTCCCAACAAGAAGTAAGTCCCCTAAATAACAATAATAATCTGAACTTAGTATTATTCGTTCGCTCTCGAAGAAAGAGAGAGAGCAACGACTCGGGCGCGCAAGGGGTTAGGAACCGCAGGCGAGTGGGAAGGCGGCAGCCTGACGATGAGCCGGCACCAACAAATTGCCCAAACTCTGCGGTCCACTGTGTATATGTTCAGCTGTAATTATCGGACAATTAAACACGTTCCTTCGGAGGGGGCAGGTAGCAACTTGGTTGGACGGCGCATTCGTGCGATCCGTGTCACGCGGCGCAAGCTGCGTGGGGCGGCGCGTCACGTGGTGCTGAGCCCGCCCGAAGCGCTCTAAGAAATACAAATCGAGGGCGTGGCTATGCACGACAGACAGACGGACAAATAATCCCTGGTGGGCAGTGTGGAACTGTTGTTACTACCTGTATGAGTGCTTTAGGTGTGGGGAGGAAACCGGAGGAGCATCTGGAGCAACTCCGGTTGTTTGTTGACGTGTGTGGATCGTTGCTTTCGCAGGAACAAGATCACAATGATTGCCGAGCCGCTGGAGAAAGGCTTGGCCGAGGACATCGAGAACGAGGTGGTGCAAATCACCTGGAACAGGTAACGCGCTTGCCGAAGGCGGTCTGGGTTTCAGAATCAAAGTCAGAATATTTGTTTATGCTGGAGGAATCCGATGAGCTATGAAGCTCTTTTTCACAGATGTCCAGTCAGGTCACGGGGGTCAGAGCGTTATAAAGTGTAGGAAAGGTTAGCAAATCGTAAAAAAAAATTATTGAACCAAAACTATATTTATTTTACACAATTGGAACCTCATTTGCCAGTAAAAATATGATAATTGGTTTTTTACCCTTCTATCTGGCAACAAAACTGACGCCTTTTTTTTACAAGGAGTCATGTTTACATCGACCACAATACCTGCAGTCATAATGCGCCTTTTGGCATCATCTGGTCCAACCCATGTGAGACTAGGCTCTAAGGAAAGCTGTCTCGGGTGTGGACCAATCAACTTCAAGGACAGTGCATACATTATCAGAGTTGTGTTTTTGTTTGCATTATGACTGCAGGTATTGTGGTCAATGTAAACATGACTCCTTGTAAAAAAGGTGTCAGTTTTGTTGCCAGATAGAAGGGTAAAAAAACAATTATTATATTTATTTTACCAGGTAAAAGCCGACTGGAGCTATCAGTTATTTTTCAGGAGCGACCTGGCCACAAACGATAGCCCGACGAAGTGGCTTATCGTCACGTGACCGTTTATAGCGGCAGCCAAATCGTCTAAACGACGCGCGGTTAGTACGACCAGAAAGCGCATCGGAGAGCCGCGCAGTACGACCACGAAACCCGCGCAGTGGAATTCTCTCTCGCTCTCTCGCACGCATGCTCGCTCGCTTCACTTTTTTTTCACTTTAAGAAAATCTATGCCAATAAAACAAACATTTTTTTTTACCTTACCTGCCCCAAAGCCCACTGAGGTATTAACTTATTTTTCAGTAGCGACCTGGCCACAAATGATAGGGTTTACTGTGTGCGTGCTAACCCCCGCGGTAGCGGGAACGCCACCATGTCTCCCCCAGTGGCGATGTTTACACACCACACCACTGGTTACTCATTTGAGTCTGAGTCGAGCTAGAGAAGTGCCCAGGACTGGTTCAGATAAGCGTTACTGCTGTTGGTGGCCGCGAGCGGGAATCGAACGGCGGGTCGACCGGGTTCGTAGCGCAGCGCGCTAACCGCTGCACTACCGCTCCCTACACGCACACGTGCAACAACAACAACTGCTGTTCGCCACGATGTGGCGGTGACATCACCACAGTGCTTTGTGCCAGGCTATGTGCACTTTAAGGCCACGTGAAGTGTCGAACAGCCGCTGGCAGGAGGTCACGGAACAGAACCAGGCGCCATGGCTCGACTGAGATGACTGACCGATGCACCATCTGTGCCCTCTGCACACGCACGCACACGCACGTATACAACAACAACAACTGCCATTCACCACTAAGTGGTGGTGACGTCACCATGACGCTTGTGCCAGGCCATGTGCACCTTGAGGCCACGTACACACACACGTATACACACACACGTATACACACATGTGTACACACAACAACAACCGACATTCTCCACTAAGTGGCGGTGACGTCACCACGACGCTTGTGCCAGGCCATGTGCACCTTGAGGCCACGTACACACACACACGTATACACACACACACGTATACACACACGCGTACACACAACAACCGACATTCGCCACTAAGTGGCGGTGACGTCACCACGACGCTTGTGCCAGGCCATGTGCACCTTGAGGCCACGTGAAGTTTCGAACGCCCGCTGGCAGGAGGTCACGGGGCAGACCCAGGTGCCACGGGTCGACTGATCGAGATGACTGAGATGACTGGCTGATGACATATACACACACACGCGTACACACAACAACAACAACCGCCATTCGCCACTAAGTGGCGGTGACGTCACCACGACGCTTGTGCCAGGCCATGTGCACCTTGAGGCCTGCAGGTGATTAACCGTCGCCTCCTGGCTTCCCCCCCCCCCCCTCGCAGGAAGAAGCTCGGAGAGTTTTTCCAGACCAAGTACGACTGGGATCTGCTCGCCGCCCGGTCCATCTGGGCCTTCGGCCCCGACACCACTGGGCCCAACATCCTGGTGGACGACACCCTGCCTTCAGAGGTGCTGCGTCCGCTTGTGTTCAGAGTCAAAATTCGACATTTCCACTTCTAGATTTGAAGCTTTCGTGACTGCAAGGATTCATATTCTTAGGTTTTTTTCGGTAAGGTCACGTAGGTAAAAAATTTTAATTAATAAAAGTTAAATAAAAATCACGACGTTTCGGAGGCAACATAAGCTTCTGTCTTCAGGTGGCACCGTCTTTTATTAATTTAAATGTTTTACCTACGTGACTTTACCGAAAAAACCTAAGAATATTTCCACTTTTGCGCATGCGCACGTGAAGAAGACACGCGCGTTTATTCTGTGACTCGGGGCGTACCGGCGCAGAAGTGGCGAAACCCTCCCCCACCGTATTGAGCCATCGGTTTTGGTTTTGGATGATGTTCAGGCCTGGGCTGAGGTTGCTACGAATATTCGTTTAAACAGGCTGTATTCCAAAAGCCGGTTGGCGATTAACGGCGCAATGCAGTGCCGTAGTTTTTATTTTTATTTTACCAGGTAAGGCCCACTGAGCTATCTACATAACTGTTTTTCAGAACCGACCTGGCTATCACAAATAATGGTTCAACGAAGTGGCTCGTCGCCGTGTGGAAATTTACAGCAGCCAAATACTCTACTACCCTGTCCCACACAGCTGCAGATTGACGCCGTCATTCAGCGCGAGTGTGTTCGTACTTGCAGGGCTGTACCTGGCCTAGGTGTGGCGCACAGTGGGTTGTTGTAGGGCATGGCACGTGATGGCAATACAGTTGGTTCACCCATGTGAATTCTACGGGGGTGTGTATGTATATCTGTCTATGGGTCTCTATGGGTCTCGATGTGGTCTGTGGGCCAGAGCGTGACTCTATGGGTCTGTGTGAGTCTTTGGGTCTCTGTGTGAGTCTATGTATGTATGTATGTTGAACTTATTTCACACCGTATGTCGCCAACCGTGCTAATCGGAGGTGCGGGGGAAGGACAACGAACTAAATACAAAAAGCAGTTGTAAAGAAATTAGTTTTTAAGCGTCGCCACTCGGGAGGCAAAGGCGGCCGTGGCGCGGTGCCGGCCAACACCGCCATTTGGCGTGCCGTGCCCCCGCCCTTGGCAGTTGCTCTCTTAACAGCACTTGCCCCCACACCGCGGGGAGTGGGGGAGGGTGGTTATCTATTCTTGGTTCTTTCGGTAAAGTCACGTAGAAGGGAAATAATAAACTAAAACAATAAAATTCTCGCGACGTTTCAACTGCAACACAAGCAATCATCATCAGGTGTGAAAACCACAGCAAGAAACATTTTCAACACGAAACATTTTCTTGCTGTGGTTTTCACCCCTGATGATGATTGCTTGTGTTGCAGTGGAAATGTGAGAATATTGTTGTTCTATTTGTATTATTTCCCTTCTACGTGACTTTACCGAAAGAACCAAGAATATGAATCCGTGCGGTCACGAAAGCTTTCAACCGAGGGTGGTTATCTTGACCTTTGACCTGTGTCTGTGGTTCCGCATGTGCGCAGGTGGACAAGGCGCTGCTGGGCTCGGTGAAGGACAGCATCGTGCAGGGCTTTCAGTGGGGCACTCGCGAGGGCCCACTGTGCGATGAGCGTGAGTCCACCCACCTCCTCCTCATCCTCCTCCGCCCCGTCCAGCCGAGAGCCGTCCCACCTCACCGGGCACCTCTCCTGCACCCCCCCATCAGTTAGACTGATGGCCTTAATCTAAGTTGTCTTATGGTTGTTGTTGTTTGACTTGCATCCCACTGGGATTTTTGCACACAGGGTTGGTGTACGGTGCTTTTTTCTGCAATATTTTGCTGTCTTTTCTTGGATTTTCTGTTTGTACTTAGTCACTTTAAGATGTTTTCTTGTTCATGTTTTTGTTTGTTGCGCTTGCACCCGTTACCATTCGCCGCATTGCTAGAGAGGAGGAGTCCATCCTTTGACTTAAATCGCGACCCTCCCCCCCCCCCGAATCGCGACGATTTGTCGAGGCAGTTGGCGGGGGGGGGGGTCGATTCGCCCACTTCACGGCCGACATCGGTGCGATAATAACACTGGTCAGCAACAAAAAAAATTCTGGCCTGGACTTTTGCAGCTGTTTTAGACTAATTTCAAGGTGCTGATTCCAAATCTGATCTCAGATTTTCTCTATCACATCTCATTTTTAAATCCTTTATATTAAGTTCGCTTGCTTGCGTGCTTGCGACCGTGCAAATCTTTCGGTCGTTTTTTAACCCACTTCCCGTGATCCAATCGAGCTGACATTTTCCACACAGACTCGTTGTGCGAGACAATTAGTGTTCGTGAAAAATGTTTTCCAAAATTTTACACTGTTTAGGGAAAACAAATTAAATATTTAATTACCAATTGTTTAATACTGCAGACAATCATCTGACCCATAGGTGGCAGCCATCTCAAGCCAGAGGACGAGAGGACTCTAGCCGCCACGCATATAAAGGATTTAGAGTGAAAAACTTTGTTTTTACGGGTTATACTTATTATGCTATCGGCAAACCCCATTTTCATTGATTTTACCCGAAATTAACTCTGTCACTTATGATTGCAAGTTGTTACGAGTCAGTGACTGCTTTAGTGTTAAAATATGGTGCTGTATTTTTAGAATAGTGTGTTTATATTATCATTTTATGTAGATATCCACATTTATGTAATATTTTTCTTCTGCAGTTTTTATTGAAAATGCAATATTTGATATCTGATGTGATGGACAAAAACTGATGCCAGATTTGGAATCGGCACCACAAAATTACCTTAAAACCGTTGGAATACCTTATGCCAGAACAAGTGTGTTGACCAGTGTTATCTGAACTGGCCCTCTGGGCTCCCCCCCTCCCCTCGGTTGACTCGGCAGCAGTCTTCATTGTCACCTTTCGTTTTGTCCGTGGCGAAGATGAGCCGCTGGTTTTTGGGACGGCAACAAATGTAAATAAATGAATCGGTGACTAGGAGCTTTAGCCATTCATTGGTGGGGTTTTTTATCGTCATCATTATTTGAAATTCTAGATTTGAAGCTTTCGTGACTGCAAGGATTCATATTCTTAGGGTTTTTTTTCTTTTTTCGGTAAAGTCACGTAGGTAAAAAATTTAAATTAATAAAATAAAAAATCACGATGTTTCGGAGGCAACACAAGCTTCCGTCTTCAGGTGGAACCGTCACAGCCACGATAGCTGTATTTTTTTAATTTTATTTAACTTTTATTAATTTTAATTTTTTACCTACGTGACTTTACCGAAGAAAAAAAACCTAAGAATATTATTTGAAATGCTTGTTTCACGCAGGCTTTGCTTGAACCGTACGCTACGCGTAAAAACAGCCCTTTGGGTCGGAGCGGCGACCCAAAGGAGCACCCAGCGGCAACGAAGAAAGCGATGCTAACGCCGTGTCGCGTGCCGCGTGCCGTGTGCCGTGTGTGTGTGTGTGCTGCTCGCGCGCTTGTCTGGCGCTCAGCAATCCGCAATGTGAAGTTCAAGATCCTGGACGCGGTCATCGCCAATGAGCCGCTGCACCGGGGCGGCGGTCAGATCATCCCGACGGCACGCCGGGTTGTCTACTCGGCGTTCCTCATGGTGCGTGCCCGCGTGCGCGTGTCCCCTCCCCTGCCGAATAAGTCGTCCGCGCCAACCTGACGTTGGACGCTGCCCTCGGCGCGACGCTCGGCGCGGCTTGTTGTTGCTGTTGTTGCTATCGTCGTTTGTGCTTTTTTTTATGCTATTTCTTCATTTGTTGATTGATTTTTTTATTTCACTTGGTCGTAGCCGGGTTTTCATTTTGCTTGGTTGTGGCCGCATACGGGATTTGGTCCTCGTATATAATTAACGTACAGCGTTGTGGCATGCTTATTAGCACACTAATGACGCCGTATCAAATGAAAGTGTTATGATTATTACAACCCGCACCGTGTTCTGCGAGAGCACCGCTGCTGCGGCCGTCTGGAACGCTCTTTCGATATTAGGAATCCCCTGGGAGCCATGCACTTGGAAATCATCTCGATTGAAAACTCATTTCTTGATAACTACTTTGCGTGTGTTAGTTTGTTGTCCTTCCCCCCGCACCTGCGATTAGCACGGCTGGCTACGTGTACGGTGCGAGAGAAGATCAACACACACGCAGGTCACGTGCGCGAGTTTGAAGTGCGATAACTCGCGCGTTGGGCGGCCCTGTAACCCGCGGCTCGCCCGCGTCTGTTGCAGGCGACGCCGCGTCTCATGGAGCCCTACTACTTCGTGGAGGTGCAGGCCCCGGCCGACTGCGTGTCTGCCGTCTACACCGTGCTGGCTCGGCGAAGGCATGTACCACCGCGGCGGCACAGTGTGGCGGCGGTGGCCCAGGAATTCGGGACGCGGTGGTGCCGCGTTTATTTTCACGAACGTTAAAAAACTGGCTTTCAGTCATAGGTTTTTACCCTTTCAACTGGTACAAAACTGACACCTTTATACAAGGCATCATGTTTGCAATAATCACAACACAAGTGGTCAAAATGCAAACAAAAAGAAACAAGTCTGATAATGATATGCACTGTCCTTGGAAGTTGATCGGTCCACACCCGAGACAGCTTTCCTTAGAGCCTAGTCTCACATGGGTTGGACCAGATGACGCCAAAAGGCACACAACTCAAAGACAATGCACCATCAGAGTATGAGAACTCGGGGTAAGCATTTACACCATTGGAACCTCATTTGCCAGTAAAAAATATGATAATTGTTATGTTTTTTGTTTGCATTATGACTGCAGGTATTGTGCTCTATGCAAACATGACTCCTTGTAAAAAAGGTGCCGGGTACGGGTAGGGTACGGGTACGGCCGGGTACGGGTACCCGTTTGCGACGCTGGTGCGGCCGGGTACGGGTAAGGAATCAAAACCCGTTTGCGACCTCTGCTCAGCGTGGTTTGCTTTGTTTATTGATGTGCCTCCGCCGTGTGCAGCCGGGCGATTGTTTTTTCCGTCGTCGTGAAAGTTATCGCTTTAATTGAATGGGAGTTTAAATAGAAACCGCATTCCATCGGGATCTCCCCTGGGTGCGGAGGGTTGGCACAATGACTCGTTTTCACATGGGGGTGGGGGGGGGTACAACAACCCCTCCCGCTAAAACCCAACGACCCGGGCCTTCTCATTCGTCGCTTGCTCGATATATTTCTGCGACGTCGCTAGAAGGGGGGGCGGGGGGCGGCCCGGGCTCGAGAGTAGCAATGCCGCTCGCCCCAGCAGCCCTTACCACTCGAGGACCACTAGGTCTCCCCCCCCCTTCCACCCCGCGTGATCCAGGGCAACCGCGGTCCGAGGTTAAAAAAAACGCCCGTTTCGTTTTTGCCCACCGCGCGCAGAGGCCACGTGACTCAGGACGCGCCCATCCCCGGCTCGCCGCTCTACACCATCAAGGCTTTCATCCCCGCCATCGACTCGTTCGGGTTCGAGACCGACCTTCGGACGCACACGCAGGGGCAGGCCTTCTGCCTGTCCGTGTTCCACCACTGGCAGGTAACGGTCGTGCTGCGTCGGCGCGTGTCGTTTGTGCGCGCACGGGCACCGTGTGGCGCGCCGGATGTTTCGTCGCGTCCGTCGCGCCGCTGGTCTGAACCGCCGCGTGCCGGCAGGTCGCGACGCGTTCCCTATTTCCGACAGCCCTGTTCTTCACCTGAGGACGGCTGCTTGCGTTGTGGCCGAAACGTCGTGAGAATTATTTTATTATGTTTTATTTTTATTATTTTATTATTTCCATTCTACGTGACTTTACCGAAAGAACCAAGAAGGTGTTCCCTCGTCTTTGCTGCACTGCTCCACTTTGGAATTCCCTCCTCCCGTCGTTTCTCGTCTCCCAAGTTATCATGATGACGACGGTGCTCGACAAACAAAAATCTTTGGCACTCGTTACACGCAAAGTTCTCGCCGCAAGTGAACCACGATACCTTTGATGATCTCGTCAAGGAGCATTAAACCGTCACGCGAACTCCGGTCATCCTCGCAGCAACAGCAGCTTTTGGCTGGCCATCGAACACAGACGGTGGTCACCGCATCGCGCTGCGCTTTCAGATGCGCTTCTGCGGCCGTCTGGAACGCTCTTCCGATTTTAGGAGCTGTGCACTGAAATAATCGAGATTGAGAACTCGTTTTTTTAGAGCTGATTTTTGTGTTTAGTGTGTTGTCCTTCCCCCCGCACCTACGATTAGCACGTTTGCCTACGTACGGCGCGAAAGAAGTTCAACATATATACACACATACAACAGCTTTCGTCGGATTTGTGAACACCTACGGAAAATGACACACCACCGCGTGAAAATAGGTTACTGCCAGCAAGCTGCCCTAGTTCTCGCTGTTTGTGCATTTAGCTGAAATGCACAACCGTCTGTTTCACAGTGGACATTAAAGATCCCCTTGACATCATTTGAAAACATTGCAGGACGTGGGACAACATTTGTACTGTGTGTGTACTGTATGTGAACCGTGTGTGTACCCTGTGTGTACTGCTTGTACTGTGTGTGTACCGTGTTTACTCTTTATGTTATGTGTATGTGTACTGTGTGTGTACCGTGTGTGTACTGCTTGTACTCTGTGTACTGTATTTACTCTATGTTTTGTGTATGTGTACCGTGTGTGTACTGTGTGTGTGTACTGTATGTATGCTGTGTGTGTACTGTGTGTGTACTGTGTATGTGTACTGTGTGCGCTACTCGCCAGGCAGCTGTCTTCCTTTGGAACGCATCTACTACTACTAACTATTACTGCCGCATACATCGTAGGGGAAACCCCTACTTTGTTTTCGATCAACTGATGTCTTATTTAATGGCCAGTTAAGTAGGCAAGCACCAAGTCCAGCATAAAGCTTTTTGGGTTAGATGGCGTTAGTATAAATGTGTCGTTAACCCACCACCACCACCCGACAGCCATCCAGTAAGGTTTGTCACGTAAACAGAACGTGGCTCAATTGGTTACTAGTTCAGCCCACCGCTTGTGTGTTCGGAGAGCGAATCCACAACATTTACAATTTGAGTACTCTGAAGTTTCGCTGGTAATCACATCCAGCGATTTTGCCAGAATTCTGGCCGAACGACACATTTGTACTCGCGCGATCGAATAATATTGGTCGCGAAAGCCTACGTGTCAGACTCGGCGCCAAGTGTTTGTCGTTTTTTTTCGCGCACACGCGAAGATCGTGCCAGGAGATCCCTTGGACAAGAGCATTGTGATCCGTCCACTGGAGCCGCAGCCGGCCCCTCACCTCGCCAGGGAATTCATGATCAAGACTCGTCGCCGAAAGGTACACGCGCGGGGCGTCTTGTGGGTTTTATTTTTCGATCACCGCCTTTGGGCGTCTTCATTCACACGGTGGTCTACGCCAGCGGTCTTCACTACGTTTTCAAAAGGTGGGGGTGGGTGGGGGGGAGTGGCGGTGGGGGGCACTTTCGCCGATGAGGCGTCATCAGTGCGAGTGAGGAGGGCCTGCCACACCATTTGAAACCATTGCGGGGTTTGTGACCGCAGCACGATGACGATGATGGGGGTGGGGTGGGGTGTTGTCGCTGTGTATTGTCGGGAGGGGGGGGGCGCACTAAAGGCCACCAGGGGCTGCTAGTGAGCCCTGGGCCCTTGTCATGAACAACACTGGTCTACGCTTACAGCTGAGTGTCCTTGATCGGGTAAGGGGGCAGGACTGCAATTGCTTGCGCACACCACCACTGGCTGAAGGGCCTCTTGAGCATTATGTGGCCTACTCTTCCTCGAGGGAGAGGTAGGCTCGTTTGTATCAACCTGCCGCGCCAGGAGGTTGAACCGGTGCCTAAATCCCTTCCCCCGGTGTAAGCACGGGTGCACCCGCGTGCCCCGTGCTCAAATTGTATTATCGGTGATTTACCTTCTGAAAAAAATTTGGCCACGTCTCGCTAACCCCCCCCCCGGAAAGGGGCATCTCACACCCCCGGGCGGGGTTGGTGGCACGAACGACACGCCGGTTAAGAAGAAGAAGAACCACTGCTCTAGCGGTTCTGGGATGGCGGGGTGGAGGGAGGACCGCTCTTGTTCCCTTGCGTTTTCTAACCCCACTGTGCCCCACGGCACGTCCCCTCCGCTTTCCGCAGGGGCTGAGCGAGGACGTAAGCATCAGCAAGTTCTTCGACGACCCCATGTTGCTGGAGCTGGCCAAACAGGACGTCATGTTCAACTACCCGATGTGATTGGCCGTGGGTAGGCCTACATGCGGTGCGAAAGAAGTTCAACTTGCGTGCGTGCGGCCCGCGTCATCCGCCCCCTAAACCGCCCCCCCCCCCCCCGGCCCCTCTTTCCGCCAGACTCGTTTTTTCCCACGGCAGCACAACGGTCGCTCGCTTGTAAATCGGTGCGTGTCGTTACCGTAGCCGTTGTCGCGCGGTCATCCGGCGATGCGAATTGCCTCGTCATACGGTAAACCAAACCCCCCCCCCCCCTCCCGTACGTAGCCTCTGATTCCAGTCCATCATCGTTTCGCTCGATCGCGCAAAGTAGCAACCGCAGTGAAATAGATCCACAAGGTGAGCGTAGGTTTAGCCCCTCCGATTGTTGATTTGGGGGGCTGTGTTGTATCGCGTGTTGTGGGCGCCGCGGTGGCTAGGTGATGTTAACTACCTCGCCTTGTATACAGGAAGGTCGTGGGTTCGATCCCGACCCTGACACCTGCTGTATATTTGGAGTTTGCGTCTCTCTCTCATCATCATCACGGTGGCTAGGAGATGTTAACTCTCTCGCCTGGTGTACAGGAGGTCGTGGGTTCAATCCCAACCCTGCTGTATATTTGGAGTTTGCGTGTCTCTCTCTCTCCCCCCTGATCGCAGTTTTCCCCTCCACATTTAGAATCGACGTGCGCTCAGACATCACGCATTATTTAGATTATTTGGCTGCGATAATTTTCCACACGATGACGATGAGCCACTTTGTTGTTGAGCTGCCATTTGTGATCGCCAGGTCGCGTCTGCAAGAAGAGCTATTGTAGCTCAGCGGGCCTCGCCTGGGAAAATAAAAATAGTTTCGTTTTTAGTCGTTCTTGCGTGGTGTCGGTTTCTCGATAAAAGTGCCCGGCGCGTGGAGCGGAACGTCGGACATCGTGGCCGGAACGACACAACGGCTACGCGGAGCGATCGATTCGACTGCCCGGCATCGTGGACCAAACATCGGAAGCTGTCGCCGTAAATACAAATAGCCGCTGCGTTTACACACACACGTGCGTGCGTGCGTCACCGGCGTTATTTACCCGCGAGCGGGGGGGGGGTGTCGAACCAGGGAATTGTGGTGCGGTCATCGGCTCGGCAAAGGTCGCAAACGGGTTTTGATTCCTTACCCGTACCCGGCCGCACCAGGGTCGCAAATGGGTACGGGTACCCGTTCCCTACCCGTACCCTACCCGAAATGAGTGACAAACAGTTACTCACCAGTGACTCACGGCCTACCCGTACCCGGCCGCACCAGGGTCGCAAACGGCTACCCGTACCCGGCCGGGTATGGGTAGCCGGGTATCGGGTAGGGTACGGGTATCGGGTACCCGGTTGCGACCTTTGCGGCTCGGTCTCGCGCGACGGTCTTTTTTTTACGTTTTGCGCGCCGGTACGCCCCACGTGGGTTGAGGTTTGCGAAGGTGACATTTGTTGAGCGTTTTTACGCAATTAAATGCATTCTCTTTTTGAGAAACGGATGCGTTGGAACCGTTGCCTCCTCTTTGTCGATCCTGTCTTACAGTGTGAAGGTTTTAACTCGTGCTGTTCAAGCGGGTGTGGTGTGGTTCCACTTTTTTTTTAATACGTAAAACATGAATCGCAAGCGCCATTATTTCTGCCGACCCGCTTGCTTTATTTTCTCGACGTGCGCTGCATCGGCAAGTTCTACGACGACCCAATGCTGCCACGTTTTCTCGCGTACGCCAAGTTCCTCGCTTAATGCTCAGTGTTCACGCCGCAACGCGTCTTAGCGAGCACGGGGTTCTTCCATTCGGGAAGGCTTTTCGTGCAACGTGGAACGACGTAATACGACCCCAAAACCACTAACAACTGAAAAAATTACCCCAAAACCACTAAAAACCAAAAAATACCAAAAAAACACAAAAAACTAAATTAAACGAAAAAAAAACTATAAATAAAAAAATGAAAAAATACCGTAAAACCATTTAAAATTATGGAAATACCCCAAAACCACTAACAACTGAAAAAATTACCCCAAAACCACTAAAAACCGAAAAATACCAAAAAAAAACTAAATAAAACGAAAAAAAATCTATAAATAAAAAAAAAAACTGAAAAAATACGGCAAAACCATTAAAAATTGTGTAAATACCCCAAAACCACTAACAACTGAAAAAATTACCCCAAAACCACTAAAAACCGAAAAATACCAAAAAAACTAAAAAAAACACGAAAAAAGAAATAAAACGAAAATAAAAACTTTAAATAAAAAAAACACAAATAACCGAGAGTACGCCGCAACTGCATTACTGTTAATTTTCGATTTAAAGCTTTCGTGACTGCAGGGATTCATATTCTTGGTTCTTTCGGTAAAGTGAGAATTAGATTTTTTTATATATTTTTATTACTTTATTATTTCCCTTCTACGTGACTTTACCGACAGAACCAAGAATATGCATTACTGTTATAACGTTTCGCGTTCCGCGTTGTACGAAAAGCGTTCCCCCGAATGGAAAAAAACACACCGCGAGAACGCGTCGCAAGAGTGAACGCCGCTGCGAGCGATGCGAAGCCGGAGGGACTTGGCCCCCGTGTGCGGACTGTCGTTGAGTGGCTTCTGTGCCTTGGTTGCTTGGGGCTTTCTCGGATTCCTGCTCCCTCTGCCACGGTTTCTTGCGTTTCTCCCGAAGGTTCTTACCAGAAGGGGGTGGGGTTGGGGGTCTGGCTGATGTTTGGAACCCCAGGGGTTCACGTGGGTGTCGATTTAAATATCAAGGCACATTTTGTCGTACGGTAATTTTATACATGTTTTGTTTTATTAAATAGCGGTTTATTGAAATGTCACAAAACGGCCTTAGCTAGTTTAACACCGAGTAGTAGCAGGAGGCTCGCGAAGAATATCCATAATAAGAGGTTTTTTTGGGGGTTAGAGCGTGTAAATATAAATGTGTTCTTAAAACCGCCACCACCCGACACAGCCAATTCTTAAGGGTTGGCATGTAAACAGAACGTGCCCATGTGCTGTACGAGCAACACATCGGTGTGCTGTACTAGTGACGAATTGGCACGTTCTGTTCACGTGACGAACATTACTGATCGGCTGTCGGGTGGTGGCGGGTTTAACGGCACATTTGTATTTACGCGCTCTAACCCAGAAAACCTCTTGCACGGGGACGGCCTTGGCTTTTACACAAAATTACGTTTTAAAGCGGACGCGACAAATATTTAGTCATTTCAAGACATCGATACCGGAGGAACCGTTGCTTTACTCGATCGGTTAAGATAAATAGTGCGTGCGTCGTACACATCTTCATTAAGTATTTTTATAGTAATAGGTTTTTACCCTTTCGTCTGGTACAAAAACTGACACCTTTAGACAAGGGATCATGTTTGCAATAACCACAACACAAGCAGTCAAAATTCAAACAAAAAGAAACAACTCTGATAATGATTTGCACTGTCCTTGAAGTTGATTGGTCCACACCCGAGACAGCTTTTCTTAGAGCCTAGTCTCCATTGGTGTTGGACCAGATGACGCCAAAAGGCGTACAACTCAAAACAGCGCACTATCAGACTATTGAGAGCTCGGGGTAAGCATTTACACTGATACCTCTTTTACCAGTGGAAAATATAGTAATAAGTTTTTACCCTTTCATCTGGTACAAAAACTGACACCTTTATACAAGGGATCATGTTTGCAATAACCACAACACAAGCAGTTGAAATGTACCATATTTCTCCACTGGTAAAGGAGGTTTCGTAGTGTAAAAGTATTTTATACTGCAACCATCGGCTCCACAAGAATATAAAATATACAAGGTGGCCCCAAAAGGCAGCATACACGAATGGTTATTTCATCGAATTTTAACACTGGCATTAAAACATTGTAATTGCTTATCATTTAAGTTAATATTGTATCTATTATCAGTATCGATAACCTTTTCTGATTCCTGCTGGGTCACCTCAAAGCGGTCGTTTACAAAGCCTGAATGGAGACGAAGCATCATTGTCCTGTGTGTATGTGGAACTTCTTTCGCACCGTACGGAGCTGACCGTGCTAATCGGAGGTGCGGGGAAGCACAAGAAATTTAGCACAAAAAGCAGTTCGAATTATATAAACGTTAAAAATCACGCCCTGTAATCTGAACAAAAAACACATTCCTGCGGAGGGAGCTGGTAGGAACGTTGGGTTGCTCGGTCAATGGCCAGGGTCAACGGCGGCGTGGTGTATTCCGCAAATATGCCCGACTGTGAGGGCGGGCACAAGCCGGCGTGAGTAGGTTAAACGTTGAGTTTTATAAGGGCACCACCGGGTGACCAGCCACCTCCCCACTCAGCCCCACACTTCCCACCCGCCACCCAGCCCCACCCTCCCCACCCAGCCCCACCCTACCCTCCCCTCTCCACCCAGCCCCACCCTCCCCACCCAGCCCCTCCCTACCCTCCCCTCTCCTTCTTGGTTTTTTCGGTAAAGTCACGTAGACGGCTGCTTGCGTTGTAGCCGAAACGTCGTGAGAATTATTTTATTATGTTTTATTTTTATTATTTTATTACTTCCCTTCTACGTGACTTTACCGAAAAAACCAAGAAGATGAATCCCTGCAGTCACGAAAGCTTTAAATCGAAAAATCTTTCGGTAAAGTCACGTAGAGTGGAAATAATAAAATTATACAAATAAAAACATAATAAAATAATTCTCACGACGTTTCAGCCACAACGCAAGCAGCCGTCCTCAGGTGGAGAACAGGTCTGTCGAGAAGACAGAGTCCATTATTATTTCCACTCTACGTGACTTTACCGAAAGAACCAAGAAGATGTTATACAGTGCTCCGAATCGTAGCATATGCCCGTTCTCGTCAGGTGTGGAACTATGAGGAGGAGGGTGTGGAGTTTGATTCTGAGTGGCCGCAGTGGGACGGCTGGCCAGGTGTTGTAGGCGTGTGGGGGTCGCTGCGAAGTGGCCGGGGAGATGGCTTTGCATGGTCACCCCCCCCCCCCAATCTACCCCCGAACCTCCCCCGAACTGCCCCCCACCTCCCCCCACCTTCTCTCACCTCCTCTTACCTCCCCTCATCTCCCCCGAACCTTCCCCTCGCCTCCTCCCTCACCTCCCCCCACCTCCCCTCACCTCCCCCCACCTCCCCTCACCTCCCCCCACCTCCCCCTCGCCTCCCCCGAACCTCCCCCTCGCCTCCCCCCACCTCCCCCTCACCTCCCCCGAACTGCCCCCCACCTCCCCCCACCTCCCCCTCGCCTCCCCCTCGCCTCCCCCCCGCCTCCCCCCACCTCCCCCCCGCCTCCCCCCACCTCCCCCACCTCCCCCCTCGCCTCCCCTCACCTCCCCCTTACCTCCCCCTCACCTCCCCCCACCTCCCCCTCACCTCCCCCTCACCTCCCCCCACCTCCCCCTCACCTCCCCCATCCCCCCCTCACCTCCCCCCACCTCCCCCCTCACCTCCCCCACCTCCCCCCAAACCTCCCCCCTCACCTCCCCCATCCCGCCCTCACCTCCCCCCACCTCCCCTCACCTCCCCCTCATCTCCCCTACCTCCCCCATCCTGCCCCCCCCTCTCCAGCCTGGTGGGTTCTCTCCGTGCTGCCTCTCTGCTTTCCTGCCGCACGAAGCCAACGAATGGAACTTGGCCATGAACATCCTCAACCCTTACACCACCACCCTCACCCTGACTGTAGGGGCAAGTGCTGTTAGCGAGCACCTATAAAGGCCGGCACGGTACACGAGGGGGTGGGTGGGCCAGCACCACGCCCGGCCGCCTTTATCTTCCCAGTGCCCATGTACTCATTTGAGGCCGAGTCGACCTAGGGGAGGAGGCCGTGAACGAGTTCAGAGAATCGGGTGTTGGCCGTGAGCCACCGCCCCCCCCCCACACACGCAACTCATGAGACTGAGTGAGGGCTTTGCTGGATAAATAATTGGGGTTGTTGTTTAGTACCGGGCGACATCTGTAACCTGTTTTTATCGGAGGACGTTATTGTCTCTTCCTGGCCGTCTCGTCTGAATACAAGTTGTGATTTACAGCCAATTATATTTTGAAACTTTATTATTAGTATGAATTCTTTATTTGTATTTTTTAAAATAAATTGAAAACGAAATCCAACCGCTTTTTACTCGCTTCACATCCTCTGTCCACTTCCCCCAGACCGCCTCTCTGCTTGATGTTGTGTGCAGTTCCTTGTCCTGTTAATCGATTAGCACGGTTGGTTACGTATGGTACGAAAGAAATTCAACACGCGTACATACACCGCACCTCCGGTTATATGTCAACGGTTGGCTACGTACGGTGCGAAAGAAGTTCAGCATGCATACGTCTCTTTGCTCTCTTTGAAATCATCATCTTCCGATCGTGGTCGTTTATGGGGGGTTTTCTCTCATGCGTCCCGAACGTAACGTTTTACTTTCTAGCGCAAGCAAATGAAGACTCGAGGCATAAAAACAGCGGTCATCGATGCACCAGCAGGCGCTGCTGCCGTTGTAAGCTAAGACGACCACGTGCAAGGCCGGGGCAGGA